AAAGTTAGCATATGTGGTCCTTTTATACTTTTTGGAAAGGCAGCCAGTCTATCAAATATTGATAGTATTCTTACTAAACATTCTTGAAACATGTTCTAGACACTTCTGAAACGATTAGTCATACTTACTTAATTGACCATTCTCAAAGAATGTTCTAGAACCAATATTGAACCGTTATTAATAATTTCGTACTAAACATTAAATTGTAATAACTAAGTATTGGTACTTTCTACATTGTAACAGTTTCAGATACAACAAAATTATAGAATACAAGCGCAAGTGGTTTAGTGGTAAAATCCAACGTTGCCATCGTTGGGCCCCCGGTTCGATTCCGGGCTTGCGCATTTGTTTTTTAATTTTTTTTACATTTTCCAGCCTCGCCACAGAATTTCATGCGGGAATCCCGTTATATTCTTTTCGACAGGGTTTCACGGTTCTGTAAAGGGGCAGAAACGGTAAGTTAATAACAGTGTAAGTTTACATAACTACTAAAAGAATTATGAAAAGTTGACTGAATGTTTCACCCATAAAGTAATAAACCCGTAAATAACTCCGACTACCAAAATTATATTTTAAGTGAACAAACTTAAACACATATAGCACCTCAATGTCGAACCCGAAATATGGAGCATTAAATGGAGTAGATGATGATTTGGACGGCGTTGATGATTTCCTTGATGAACCAAACCCATTTGACGATACCCAAAATGGTACTAGTAATAGTAATGCTACAGTAGCTCCTGATTTGGATACCAAAAGTATGGCTACTGCTGTGTTGCCGGATTATTCAGAAATTTCAGGAATCCAACAAGAACCTGGAAATGAACCATATGGTAACGTTAATAACGGTAGTTCTGTTAACGTCAATCGTACCACAACTGAACGTGGAGAATTACCACCCGGACTCATAAATTATTACTCTAAATTTTTCCAATTATCTACAGAGACATTTAAAGGTCGTTTTTTAAGAAGTCTGAAAATTAACCAATTGATATTTGAATCTGAATCTTATAATCCTGAGTCTCGTGAACTGTTTGGTGCGATATGGATTACTTGTACAATTGTATTGGTGAAATTTATATTTCCTGGTTTAATTAATTTAATGCATTATGGTATAATAAAAGGGGAGAAAATAAGCGAATCTGTACCAACAAATGATCGTGATAAGATATATTGGAATTTAATTCATTCCATTTGGTTATTTGGTATATATTCATTTGTTGTACCATTTATTGTTTTACAAATTATCTTGAAGGATGATACGAACGGTGAAGAAAATGGATTGCCACAAAGTGAACCAACGGGTGACGCAGGTGGTAGACATATGACGATTAATGCGAATGCAAAAAATTTAATTGGTTTAATCACAGTTTATGGATATGGGAATAGTATCTGGTTATTTATCTTGCCTATTTTAGATATTACTAATAGTTTAGCCACAAGATTTAAGACAGCAATTGCTGTGGAATGGGCTATTATTGCTTTAGCTTATGTTAAGACAGCTCAATATATGAACATGCAGATTTGTAACCGTGGTAATGGTCATGTGAGGCTTCCTTTCACTATGATATTTGTGTTAGGTTTTCATATCATCTTTAGTGTGTTATTAATGTTTACATTATATTAATTAATTTATTTATTATAGTATTATTATTATTTATGTAATGAGATACAACTAAAAGATACTTAACAGCTAATTTAAAATAATAATGACAAAATTAGCAAATATGGTTAAAAAGGGTAATTGTCTTTATTATTGAATTCACTGGTTAGTTTCCTTTTATCTACGTATGAGTTATATATAGATATTTTGGGAGAGAAATTAATATCGTGTGAAGAATGATGGTTGTTGGAAGATGGATGATGATGTGAGATGATGTGAGATGATGTAGAATGAATGTGAGTAATGGTTAAATATATTTTTTTATGAAATATATCTAACCATGATGCAAAATATATAATGAAAAGAAAAGAAAAGAAAAAATGAGACTGTGATTGAGTTAGAAAATTTCTTGTTTTATTAATTAAAACCCTGAATTTTTATAATCATTCGTATTCATTTCATAAATTGATTTCCCACTAATACGTTTATTAATCCTTGAAAATATATTAATATCAGCTCTTGTAAAACCCTTCGAAAAAGTACAACAATTTAGAAATTCTTTAAAAGGATTTGGTGTACCAAACTCTGTAATAATTACAGGATATTTTTTCTTACAACAGGATAAGCATGGTTTGAAAAGAATCAATTTATCGATATGTTTAATTATTGATATCGAATTAATGAATTGTTTATTACCTGCATTCGGATTGTAATTCTCAAATGATTGTTTTAAGAAGGTATCTAACGTATCACTTTCAATATGGAATTGAGATTCCAATGTAATACGGTGTCGTATAACGTCGTCTCTAGTGAGTGCATAATGTAATAATTCTGTAGCAAATGTTAAGACGGATTCATCTTGAATTAGGACTTCAATATGAGCGTCACATTTAATTTTTTTAAGTCGACATTTATCACAACTTGGACCTACTCTTTGTCTCTTTGAAGTTTGCGAATTTGTTGTATTAGTTGATGATGATGATACAGAAGATGTTGGAGATGCTGTTGAAGGTATTTGATTTTTCCTTAAAGGCGTGACGCTTCTTGATGGTATACCACTTGCTGGAGTAATACTACGTGGAGTATCAATATTTGATTGGGGATTACTAGTAGTAGTAGTAGTAGTAGTAGTAGTAGTATTACCAATGTTTAATATTGGAGGTGGAGTATGTATGTTATGATGTAAGCCTATTAATAGACTAGCAGGCATTGTACTGCTAGTAGTACTAGTACTACTAGTACTACTAGGTGTTGTTGTAATAATATTATCATTATTATTTGAAGATAATTTTGGTCTCTTTGTAGCTAAAGATGCGAGACTCTCTAAACCATTAATCATAGTTGACTGATCCTCATTTTTAATACTACTATCCGATTGTCTTTTCTTATGAAGGAAAGGATCTATCTTAATAATGTTATTAGTAGTAGTAGTAGTATTAGTAATACCATTATCATTAGATAATAGTATGTTACTTTTAATATCATTATGATGATGATGATCAATAATATTATTTGTATTATTCATTATATTTCTTATATTCGGATTAATACTTGGTAATAATAATGGAGGTAGATCTTCATCTCTATTTGAGATGGTTATACTTGCAGTATTCATGTCCGATTTTCTATAACAATTTTCCTCTCTCTCTCTCTCTCTCTCTCTCTCACGCAAGCTCTCTTTCACTTCCTATTTATTTATTTTATTTTCACTCTTTTTCTTTTCTTTCACTGTGTATAGAATACACATGCACACAGCCATATATATATATATATATATTTTATATATAGATACTGAAAGAAGATAAATTATAATTATCTGTATCTTGTGAAAATTGTATATAAAAATTCAATCAATTGACAGATGGATACATCAAGAGGCAAGAATTGATGGGATGGGGAGGGCACTCACCGAAACGGGCAACATCGAGAGAGAGTATCGTCATAGACATCCTCATCCTCAACCTCATCCTCATCCTCAACCTCATCGTCGTCGTCGTCGTCGTCGTCGTCGTCGTCGTCTCATCTGAGAATAATCCTAATACGAAAGAAAAAATAATTGACGTCCTTCTCTATCTCTCTTTGTCGAAGATCATTCCATCTGTGTCTCATCGAAAAATATTCGGTAAAAAGAAAAGAAAAAAGAGTCACTACGGGGTTTCCACAGGCAAGATATCTAAATTTTATTGTCAAAACAAAGCAAAATTGAAAATTGAAAAATTTCGGAATTTTCTTCAAACTGAAAAAACTGAAAAATTTTCACACTGCGCGACTGCCATGCCTGAAGAGGAGGAGGGGACTTGGGCAACGGCAACAGTAACAGCGACATCCAGCACATCACATCGTCTAAGTTTTGTTATTCAGCCTGTTGTCAATGAGCAATAATTACTATTTTCATTATTATTTTCTGTTCTGACAGAACAGAAAATACTGGAAGTAGTTGTCGGAGCAATAAATGGCGTTGAAATATTATGGTTTGTTGCCGTTTTGAATGATATATTATTTTGTGTTATTACTAATAGAATTGGTTCAATCTAAATATCTCCGGGTTCACTCCATATATATATATATATATATAACTATGTAGTTATATTACTACATTTGTTGTTATTTTGCGATATAATCATAGATGAGGATTAGCTCGTTTATTGCATTACAAATATACCACTATCGTATTTTATTAGTTGAAGTGAGAATAGATCTGATATCTTATATACTGTCTCTCAATCTTTGAAATTTGTTTTGTAAATTAATTAAATTAGATATTGCTACTAGATTACTAATCTTCTCAAGTCTAATTATTAAATTATTCTTACTATAAACTGCGAAAGAAAAACAAATAAATAATTAAAGGCGGAGAGAAGGGACTTCCTTTTAATTATTTATTTGTTTTTCTTTTTGCGTGTTTTTGCGTGTTTTTCGTGTTTCTTGAGATCAAGAAGATTATTTAATATATTTTATAAACAAACAATAATATATATTTATATATATATTATTGTTAACAAATGGGTGGCAAAACGTAAACATTTATGGACAGACAGTCATTTTCGTTTCGAATTATTCATTGAACTTGAAACACTACCAGTATTAATAATAATAAGAATAATAATAAGAATAATGGCTAGAAGGAGATTACCTGATAGACCACCAAATGGGATTGGCATGGCTCAAAGGCCAAGATTGGTACCTCGTCCAATTAATGTGGAGTTATCCATGAATAAATTAAACAAACCATTCAAAGTGCCGTATCGTGTTAATAAAGTTAGTCATAACAATTCTAGTACTACTACTACTACTCTTAGTAGTAGTAGTAGTCAAAGAATATTAAGGAAACGATCTAACACAATAAATTATTCAGGGATGGATGTTGATAAAAATAATAATTTGATCAACAATGAAGAAAATAATTATTTGATCAATGATAAAGAAAATCCAAAAATTTTGGATAAGAAAAGATTAACTAATGCTTTAAGTTCTCAAAGACTTATGAAAGATCCTTCAAGGTTAGATAATATCGAAAGAACTTTAAAAAGATCATTTTCTGTACCAATTAGAGGTTATGTACAAAGACATAGTTTACCTTTAACTTTAGGAACTAAAAAAAAAATTATCACAGAACCAAGACCTTTACATGATCCATCAGATGAATGTGCAATTGTATTATACGATCCATCGGTAGATGGTCAGATGATTATTCATGATCCAAATTTAACTACAAATATATCGACTAATGAGAAATCTAAATCAAATGAAAATGAAAATGATAATAATAAAAAAAATTTAAAACGTGAAACTATTCATCCAAAACTAATGTCTAATGGTCTTAAAAATAAATCTTTATTAGAATTATTAGGTCCATCTGATTCATCTTTAGAATTAAGTAATAAAAAATTCGCTAATGTTCCTGTTGTAATGGATCCAAAGTTGACAAAAATTTTAAGACCTCATCAAGTTGAAGGTGTTAAATTCTTATATAGATGTGTCACGGGGCTTGCAATGAAAGATTATTTAGAGTCAGAAAAAATTACTAATGCTTTAGATTCACAACAGGATTCATCTAAGGATTTATCCTTAGATGAATTAATTAATAAAGACGATAAAGATTCAAAGGATTCAGAGGATTCAAAGACATCAAAGAAAAAGACTAAATCGAAGAAAAAAGATAAAAAAAAGAAAGAAGTAATACCAGTATTGCCTGCTGTTAATACAGGTGCATATGGTTGTATTATGGCTGATGAAATGGGTCTAGGTAAAACTTTACAATGTATTGCATTAATGTGGACATTATTAAGACAAGGACCTCAAGGGAAAAGATTAATTGATAAATGTATTATTGTATGTCCATCAAGTTTAGTCAATAATTGGGCTAATGAACTAATAAAATGGTTAGGTCCAGGTACTTTATCACCTCTAGCAGTTGATGGTAAAAAATCTTCTTTAGTTGGTGGTGCTAATGCAACAGTTGCAGATGCTGTTCATGCTTGGGCACAAGCAAAAGGAAGAAATATTGTGAAACCAGTATTAATTATCTCTTATGAAACTTTAAGAAGAAATGTAGATCAATTGAAAGATTGTAATGTTGGTCTAATGTTAGCTGATGAAGGTCATAGATTGAAAAATGGCGAATCATTGACTTTTACAGCATTGAATAGTATTCATTGTCCCAGAAGAATTATTCTTTCAGGTACACCAATTCAAAATGATTTATCAGAATATTTCGCTTTATTAAATTTCTCTAATCCAGGTCTCTTAGGGACAAGAACAGAATTTAGAAAAAATTTCGAAATTCCTATATTAAGAGGTCGTGACGCAGGTGCAACAGATAAAGAAATGGATAAAGGTGAAAGACAATTACAAACTTTATCGAATATTGTTTCGAAGTTTATTATTAGACGTACTAATGATATTTTATCAAAATATTTACCTTGTAAATATGAACATGTCATTTTTGTTAATTTAAAACCATTCCAAAATAATCTTTATAAAAAATTATTAAGCTCTAAACATTTAGTTAAAGGTGAAGGTGGAACAAACCCGTTGATGGCAATTAATGTTTTGAAAAAATTATGTAATCATCCAAATCTATTGGATTTTGAGAAAGAATTTGCCGATATTGATGATGAAGATCTTCATATTCCTAATGATTATGAACCACCTAGTTCAAAAAGTAGAAATGTTCAGACTCAATATTCAGGGAAATTTTCCATTCTAGAAAGATTCTTACACAAGATCCACACCGAATCTGACGATAAGATTGTTTTGATTTCAAATTATACTCAGACTTTAGATTTAATTGAAAGGATGTGTAGATATAATCATTATGGGTCAGTCAGATTGGATGGTACTATGACAATCAACAAGAGACAAAAACTGGTTGACAGATTTAATAATCCTGAAAACGAAGAATTTATTTTCTTGTTAAGTTCCAAAGCAGGTGGGTGTGGTATTAATTTAATTGGTGCCAATAGACTGATTTTAATGGATCCTGATTGGAATCCTGCTGCTGATCAACAAGCATTAGCAAGAGTCTGGAGAGATGGGCAAAAGAAGGATTGTTTTATTTACAGATTTATCACTACAGGTACAATTGAGGAAAAAATCTTTCAAAGACAATCCATGAAGATGAGTCTAAGTTCTTGTGTTGTCGATGCCAAGGAGGATGTCGAAAGATTATTTACTGCAAATAGTTTAAAAAAATTATTCCAATTTAATGAAAAGACAATATGTGACACTCATGAGACTTACCACTGTAAGAGATGTAACGCAGAAGGTAAACAAATTGCAAGAGCCTCTACAATGTTATATGGTGATGCAACATCATGGAATCATATCAATCATAAGGGGCTGGAGAAGACCAATGATCATTTGTTGCGTAACGAATACAAACATAACGATATCAGTTTTGCATTCCAGTATATTTCACATTAAGTTGCTGTAGTAAGTAACTGTGTCTTCTTCTGTATTTTCGTACGTGTAAATAACTCAGATATATATAACTTTAATAGCCTAGCAGTACTTGTTTAAAAGATGTAATTGTCACACTTTACTATATATTGAACTATCTCTTGGTCTCTTCCTTTTGGACATTTTCTGTGTTATTTTCTTAGGTAGGGCGCTTGTTGTTGACTCCATGTAAAGGGTTCTGAAATACTATTTGAAGAAAAATAACTACACACTTACAATATAAAAATATCTTGCTCAATTAAAGATAGAAACACTTGGTAACTGCATTTAAACATAAAAACTAAAAAAACAAATACATCAATAAAATAAGACCACTATGGATGAGTTATTGGCTAGAGCTGGATCTCAGGCTGTCACGTTTGCTGTCAAATCAGGGGTGTCGTTGGCCTCCTCATATGCTATTAAAACCATAAGTAACTTTCTAATTCAAATACCTAGTGCTGAATCTCAGAATTTTCTAGAGTTGAAAATAGAATTAGAAAATAGAATAGATATAGTTTCTTCTGCAATTGATTTAATAAAATTGGTGGCGGCACGCGGTAATACCAACCTGCAAAGTACGCTAAAGATTACTGAAAACCTGAAACAAGAGATTAATCAGTTTGATAGTAACATTCAGAAACTATTGCATGCTATTGAAGATTCAAAACTTCAAAAATCTAAAAACGAAGCTATCCATGAGGCAGAACGTTACATAAAAGATCTTCTAAGACGAATCCAGGAAATAACGCCATATATCAACCTGGCATTAACTACCTCAGGTGCGAATCTAAGTTCAGCATTGCCTAAAACTATATCTCCAGGATTGTTATTGAAAGCTTCAAATTTTATCTGCCTTAATAATGACAAATTCTCAGGGAATCCCAAATCTAGTCACCAAGTCGGACCAACTTTTGAGATTACATTATTTTCAATCTTCTACAATATCAATTCAAAAGATCATATTAATTGGAAAGAAGACATGAAAAGAGCTTTTGTGAAAATATACAGGGTTCCAAGTGAAGAAGGAGATGATTCTTTCAAATATAATTTATCGATAAAGCAGAGTTTCAATGATGAAAGGTACCACAATGTAGAAGATGGGGAAGAAGTTCCTAGAAATATTTCTCTTGAAACCCAAAAGATTGAAAAGATATTCTTTAGTGTTTCTGGAAAATTATTAAAACTGGAAGAGCATGATTCAGCTGTACTTATTTTGAAAGTAGACGATAAAAAGGAAGATGAATCAGGTAGAAAAACAGAAAGCACCATTAGTTGGTATGCACTCGGAGGTTATGAACCTGGTGTTGACAATAGCAATAATTCTGAAGAAGAGGAGATAGAGGATGGTATACAAGAAACCCAAAACACTGATACAGTTGACTATTCAAAATCTATTGGCCTAATGGAGTATATTATAAGGCTGACATCTCTGCAACAAAACGATCAAAATAACATTCTTTCAATTAATGATGAGCGCTTAGCACTATATCTCCATGATGAAAATCCAAATTCAATCAAAAAGGGAGTGTTAGATATTAACGAGGTTACCAAGAATTTAAAGAAAGTAAGTTTACAGGGCAATATTTAGAGATAGATACTTCTAAATACAAATTAAAAGAATAACAGGACATTAATTTATATTTTGTTATTTTTTTTGAAATTTGGAGATGTTATTCTTATTTATCCTTAGAGAACTAATACCAAATGAATAGAAAATATTAGTTTACTAAAATGTTTTCAATAGAATAGATGACAATGTCATTCACTGCTCTCTTTATGTTCATTTTATCGTATAGATATCATATAAATTTACATAACAGGGAAATTTTTTTAACAAAATACCATTATCCAAAAGTCGGTTGTTGTATCATCCATCTACTTCATGTGTTGATCACTTCCCACCAATATGATGAGATTTAGCATGTTCATCAATTTCTAATTCTGTATTCTTGAGATTTCACTCCAAACCTAAATTCTGATCAGATGCATTAAAATTAGAAAAATCTCCTAAGTTTGAATTATATAGTGACCAATTTCCATCATCATTTAGGTCCCCAGTTAAATCATATAACGACGAATTATTATTATGATTCAAGTCAACGATAGGAACATACATGCTGGTTAAGTCGTCCTGCTTATTATCCTGGGGTGAGAAATCTGATGCCATTGTCGGCGATGTTAAATTTTGTGATTCTTCATTTATACTTTCTATAGAGCTAAATATATTTGTTAGCGGATTTAATAGGGTATTGATATCCTTATCCTCAAGACTGGTGGGTGTAATGACAGAGAAGCTTGGTGAGTTTTCTACGGCGTTCGGTGCTTTATTTTGACCTCTCTTTCGCCTCGTGTGGCATTTACAGGGGTTGCCATGCGTGCAGCCACATGTTGACGTTGCCTTCTTGCTATGACATTTGCATGACCCTGATGGATTTACATTCCTCACCATACGGAGTTCTTTACAATGAAAACATGCAGTAGATGGTCTACCTTTTCTTTTGATCTGGACTAAAGGTCTGTCGGCGTGATTACAGCTGGCAACTTTATGTCCCTTGATGCAGGGCTCACATGCATATTTAATATTGTTTTTAATAATCATCGTTCTTGAACTAATATAACATTATTATATTTTATTGAAAAAAACCTTGCGAATAAAATACTAAGGTTTAACTAAAGGGGAAACCATTTATATTCTTTTGTCTATTGTACAGAGTTATGTGTGTCTAGTTATATACTCCGGCCGTGTAATATTGGGCAATGTCATGTCTTGTCAGCGAAAAGACCTTTAATATAGGTGAGATTCGTCATTAAGTGCTAAAGAAAAAAAAAGAATAAAAATGCGCAAGCCCGGAATCGAACCGGGGGCCCAACGATGGCAACGTTGGATTTTACCACTAAACCACTTGCGCTTGTAAATCAATGTTTTATTGTCTTGGGATCTCGGATGGTTGAAGACAAAAATATAACAGACGGTTATATTTAATTATTATTACTATGTTGTTAATGTTATAATATAGAAAGTAGCAATACTTAGTTTGTTAAACAGAGTTGATGTTATGAAACTGGTCATCTTTTGTGCATAGTAACGTTGGACAATTGTCAGAAATTAAGAGTAATATGTTGTGGGAATATTAAGTAGCGATACTTATTATGGTAACAATTCATGAACAGATAGAACATACAAGTATGTTCTATAGCAACTGTTCCAAAAGGATCACGTGGTCACTAATTATCACGTGACATGTATATTATAATATCGGAAAAACTATCGGAAGATATTTTTCCGATAACGTACGATGAGCTTCAAGAAAACTTTCCTGCGATGAGATGCCCATTGTACATTACTTCATTTATTAAAGAGATACTATCTCCTCGAGATATATCTGGGTATCTATCTATATATTTATAGGATTAGCTTGTATACTACTTTATGTAATAGATAAACGAATAGAAATTATACAAGCAATCTTTATAGAAATGACAATCGTTCCCAATTCTAATTCTATTAGGATCTACTCTCTTGCCAATCTACGTCAACATAATATGCACAACACTTAATTTCAATAGGTAAAGAAATACCTTTATGACAGAGAATATCTGGAACCAAGATATCTAAAACTTCCTAATAAGAACTAAACATTTATTAAGTAATAGTCGTTTAGGTCATAATCGTTTAGGTCATAATCGTTTAGTAATAAGTTCATTACTTAACAATCGTTTAACCAATGATCGTTTAGGTAATCAGTTTACTAATTAACAATCGTTTAGATATCAATCGTTTAGGTAGCAAGAAGAAATGATATATCGGTAAAATTAAATAATATATAAAGACAAAGAATTCTGAACTTACATTGGAAGTTAGATTCTATTCGTTCTATAAATTATATATAATATAAAGAGACCGATCGATTATCGTATTAAAAAATGTCCGAATTAAATAAAGTAAAGCTTGAAGAGACTAATATGTTAAACAGAGTTGCTGTTGTTAAACTGCTCATCTTTTGTGCATAGTAACGTTGGATAATGTAGCATCAATAACCCAGTGTAGGGGAAACAGATACTACATTATGCAGTATATATCATGTGTTATTATATATACGACAGTGCAGTACACTCTAAAATTCTACTTATATTAGCTACCTTCTCCTTCAGATAGGTTAAGCTAATGTTAGCCTTTTTAGAGCTGCCGCTACATTTCAACATGTAGGGTATCATAAAGTTGAGATATCATTAACAATTAATAAATAGGATATGTATGAGCAACAAGGGCAAATATAACAGTGGGTAGATCCATTTTGGCTCTCTAATAACCAAGGTTTGTTTGTTGACTTCGAAATAAATTCGCTACGTCAATATACACTTTTTTTGTTTTTAGATGGTGTCGTAATAACTACTATATAATAAACATCACTATTGTTCTCTGTGGTTGACAAAATGCAGAAACAACCCAATAGAAAAAGAGAGTAACACCAATTTTTGTTCATAACTTCAATAATATTCAACGTTCTAAACACTCTCTAGGTATTCTACGCAAATAAGATACAATGAGTATCAGCTATACATAGGAAAGAAGGATTTTTGAATTAATGATATAATAGAAGAAACGATTAGACCTGGCACATATCGTTAATTAGTTCAACTTTACAATGATGCTATCTTGATAATACCTTGAACGAAGGTACCAGATTATGTGCGTATAGAAGTAAATGAGTACTGGATGGACACACTCCTTGTATAGTATATGGACCCAGATGATTATTGAACAGATAGCCGTCATAGTTTCAAGGTAGGTCATTATCCTACGAACATCACAAAAATAAGGTAATTATTAATCTTTATAAACCACAATATCAATAAATTAGAACTGGAATTATCTCATCAGTGTTATCCATCCATTAAAGATGCTTTTTTTATTAAGTTCAAATTGTAGGATAATTGCAAAAGGAATTTCCATTGAAACTGAAAACCTTACTGAACATTGAAAAGTGCTGACCTTTATAAAGCACTATGTTCTATCAGGAAACCTTTCATAAGCGCTAATGGATTATTAAATGAAGAAATAATTGAGAACAACAAGGGAGCGCATTGTGCATTGTAATTTCCGTCTTCTGAAAAATTCAAACGCAACATTTAGATGCTGTCAATTGCCACTGAAAAATTATAACACACTTTTCTACAACTGTCTCAATAACTTGAGAGCTTATCACCCTGAAACCAATTCCAAAGCTAGTATTAAACGATGAAACAAAGAATTAGTGGTCTGGATTTGAAGCTTTTGGCTAAAGAATTAAAAGAATCTTTGGTATCTTACAGATTGACAAATATCTATAATGTGGCCGATTCAAGTAAACAATTCTTGCTGAAATTTGGTAAACCTGACTCCAAATTGAATGTCGTTGTAGACAGTGGTTCTAAGATTCATACCACCACATTCACTAGGCACACCCCAGAAGCTCCCTCTGGCTTTGTTTCCAAATTAAGAAAACATTTAAAAAGTAAGCGTTTGACTGCATTAAGACAGATTCCAAATGACAGAATCCTGGTATTCCAATTTGCAGATGGGCTTTATTATTTAGTTCTAGAGTTTTTTAGTGCCGGTAATGTTATGTTACTTGATGAGAACCAAAATATATTGAGTCTACAAAGAATTGTCTCCGAGCATGAGAATAAAGTCGGAGAGAAGTACGAAATGTTTGATAGTTCGTTATTCCATTCCGAAACAACTGAAGATATAGAAACTGTTCAGTTCTCAACTGAATTAGTATCATCATGGTTGAAAGAAATAGAAGAAGAACAGAATATAACGTCTAGTATTACAACTGTTACTTCTGAGAAAAAGAAAAAAAAGAAAGTTTCGATTCATAAATTATTATTAAGGAAGCAACCCCAATTGTCGTCCGACTTACTTTCGAATAATTTGAAAAAGACTGGGATTGAGCCATCTACTCGGTGTCTTGAGTTTTTAGGTAAAGAACAAGAGATTTCTACACTTCTGACCGAAACGCAAGATGAGTATATCCAATTAATAAAAGAAAAAGAAAGATGTGGATATATTGTTGCTCAAAAGAACAAGAATTTTGATTCTGAGAAACACGACCAAGAGCTTGAATTTATATACGAAAACTTCCATCCATTCAAACCCTTTATAGAGGAAAAAGAATTGGACAAATTTCGTGTTATCGAAATAGCAGGTGAATATAATAGAACTGTAGACACCTTTTTTTCTACTATCGAGTCAAATAAATTGGCTTTGAGGATCCAGAGTCAAGAGGCCCAAGCACAAAAGAGAATCGATGATGCACGGTCAGCAAACGAAATGAAAATTAAGGCATTAACTGATATCCAGTCATCCAATGAACACAAGGCCGAACTTATCATCAACAATGCAGATTTGGTAGAACAAGCAAAGGCAGCTGTACAAAATTTAATTGATCAACAGACAGATTGGAGCACAATTGAAAAGTTGATTCAAAGTGAACAGAAGAAAGGAAATAAGATTGCAAAAATGATAGAAGTTCCATTAATGCTTAAAAAGAATAAAATCAATGTCAGACTTCCCTTAGAAAATACATTAGATGAATCAAGTGTAGCTATATACGACAGGGAATTATCTGATTCTAGTGACAGTAGTGACAGTAGTGAATCATCCGACTCATCCGACTCATCCGATTCCGATTCCGACTCTGATTCTAGTTCCCATAGGAATACTAAGAAATCAAAAATCAGACGTAAAATCAAAAGTACTACAGCCCAAACTGCGACCGTTACTATTGATTTAGGACTGTCCGCATATGCCAACGCTTCTCAATACTTTACTGTCAAAAAGACAGGTGCTGAGAAACAAAAAAAGGTTGAGAAGAATCTCGAGAAGGCTATGAAGAACATTGAAGTCAAAATTGACCAACAATTGAAGAAAAAGATGAAGGAAACACATAAAGTGTTAAAAAAAATTAGAACACCATACTTTTTTGAGAAGTATAACTGGTTTATTTCAAGTGAGGGATTCCTTGTATTGCATGGGAAAAGTCCACTTGAAACTGATCAGATATACAGTAGGTTTATTGAGGATAAAGATGTTTTTATGTCAAATAATTTCAATACTCATGTCTGGATTAAAAATCCTGATAAAACTGAAATACCACCCAACACGTTAATGCAGGCAGGAGTATTCTGCATGTCGACTAGTGCAGCTTGGTCTAAAAAGGTGTCTTCCTCTGCTTGGTGGTGCTACGCTGAAAATGTGTCCAAATTCGATGATCATGATGGCGTTCTTCCTAGTGGTGTATATAGAATTAAAAGGGAGTTAGAGAAAAATGAACTATCTCCCTCTCAATTAATTATGGGTATAGCATTCCTGTGGAAAATAAGAAGCGACGAATCAGTTCCTGATGCGGACGATGGTGTAACTTCTGTTCCTGGGTTAGACGAAACCGTAAACCCAACTAAGAAAACTGATCTTGATAATGAAATCCCAAGTAAGATCAAAGAGGAAAACATACTGTCTTTGACAGAAATGGATGTTGAGAATGCGAATGACTTCTCAAATTTAACACCAAACGAAAGTGAGTTTGCCTTACCTAAGGAGGGTGAGCTGACCAGTATTCCTAGAGAAGAAAATGACACGAAAACTATTGCCACTACTACTATTTCGAAAATGTCCAAAGGCGTTCGTGGTAAGAAAGGTAAATTAAAGAAGATGCAACGTAAGTATGCCGATCAAGATGATGAAGAACGTTTAATGAGATTAGATGTCCTTGGAACACTAAAAGGTATCGAGAGACAGGAAGAGAAGGAGCGGACTGAAACGTTAAAGCAAGAAGAAAGGGAGTATAAGAAGGCACAACGTGAGAAGCAGATAGAGAAACAAGTATTACAGTTTTCGTCCAACGAAAAAGTACATGCTAACTACCATAATTTCAAAGATCAACTGAAACCCTCATTGACGTACGGTGATGATGTGGTCGATGTTATACCAGTATTCGCACCCTGGTCTGCTCTCCTGAAATATAAATACAAAGTTAAAATTCAACCTGGGAGTGCAAAGAAGACAAAATCTATGACAGAAGTGTTGCGTTATTTCATGGGCCGAAATATTGACAATAAGTCAGAAGATAAGGAAACGGATTGGCCAATTGAACATAAATTAATAAAGAGTATTAACGAGAGCGATTTAATTCCACTTCTCTGCGTTGATAAACTTAACTTATCTCTTCCTAACAGTAACAAAACTAAAACTAACTCCAAGGGAGCTCCAAAAAAGCAAAAATCAGGGAAGAAATCGAAAAAGAGAATGTGAGTTCAGATAACATATCTCCTCAGTGTCAATGATGTATCTTTATAATCTGAATTATGCTATTAGTAAATAGAATATTAGTTGCACATTTTTGAGATTCACTAGAACTCAATTATTATATAAAACATACGTGGTTTCTTTTCTAATAATTAGCTGTCTATATACCTGTTTCGGAAATAAGCTGAACCGATAAATATAACATATCCCATGGATGGAACATTTCTGTTATTTTGTGGCAGTGGTTTATTTGAAGAATCACCAAATATTGGCTCGAGTATCGAACCCCTCAATAAGACAAATCATATTGCTAGATTTTATCTTACTGTAGGTAATATAATATTTGAAAGTTCTCAGTGTAGAAGCACTGTAACAAAATATAATTTGAGAGCCATTCAAGATCCTTTTTTTGCTCTCTATGTTAATACTAAGCTGTCTGTCTTTCTTCGTGTAACTTAGCAGCAATACTTAAGGTTACTTTATTTTCTTACATACGCGAGTATCAAGATGTGGTGCCCCTAAGTTGTTGATATTATTATCTTACTATACCATATACCTTGAAAAACACAAAAAACAAACCTCTCTACTTATATAAAGTCTTATGTAAACAGGAATCAACAATCGAGGAAACAGAATTGTCTTCAATAGACAAACGGAAGCCCTCATCAGGATGGCAGTTAATTATCAACTCAGTTAAACAGATTTATTAGTGCCTAATGGCATCTTTCGAATGAAGGATCATATGGTACAGACAACATTAACAACATAAACTCAAGTAAACAAAAAAATCGTACTCCGTTGTGTTATAAGTCTTGTGTAAGTGTATGAATTATGCAGTATATATTAAAGTTTATTGCTATTAGTAGTGATCCTATTTACGGAGTGGAAGGATGGCGTGTAGTGCTTTGCTTAAGCTAACGAAAGTATTCTCATAAAAATATAGATAATTATAAAACCAGATATGCATAATAGTCATGTGATGAGAATTAAAAATATGTTTATATATTTTTATATATAAATTATTAGTTTGTGTACGGATACCGAACATAAAAAGATAAGATATATTTCGAAGTAAATTTTATGGTTTTGTTTTTATGTGATTTTTTTTGTTTTTTTCTTAGTCACAACGAGTTCGATGTCACTCTGCTTCCAAATAAAATTTGTTTTATTAAAATGTTTCTTCGCTTAATTTTGAGTTTTCAGTAGCAAAATTACTTGCCGATCAAAGATGGAAAGCAATCATCAAAACTCAAGTAGTGGAGATCCTAAGGAGCTATTTATTCACTTTTTGTCAAGTTTAGTGTGCTCAACTAGTTACATAGTTATGGAGGTACTGGAGGGGAGGTTCATTCTATTCATAAAGCAGAAGAGAAACAGGAAAATTCTTGGAATTTGGTGCCCCTGTAGTAAAATAGTTTGATGAACAATTCCAACATGATCGCAGTCTTGTCAACATGATGTCTACTATCTGTGAGTATCCAAAATTTTGTAATATTGATTTAATATCATGTCAAATAATATTGGATACTGTTGCATTATTAACAAGGTGAGTCTACGTGTAGAATTGGAATTATATAACGCACTTTACCTGTTTACTTTCAATTGTCATTAAAATTCACTTCGAATAATATTTTGTAGGAAAGGTGTATTGTTTATATATTACTATTCAGCATCAATATGAGAAAATATTCTTTAATGTTTAATTAGGAAATATAATTAATTTAAGGAAATTATTTTCTGTAAAGTATTTACAGAAAACACATATTGGCATGCACGATATGCTATCTACTTCGAAATAACCTGGTTATCCTAAGATGAATACCAAGATTGGAGATATGGGGCTTCTTTTAGCTTATTAGGTTGAAAATAGTTCTTTGGTTAAATAACGTATTTACTGTGTCAATCATAATTCCACTTTACCTCATATGTTATATTACAGTTATGTAATACCGTCATTTCGATATTAAGATTTTTTGAAGCGAAATATATTTTTAAGGCAATCAGTAAAATATAAGTTTTACCTTATTATTTACTGTTATAATTAAAACAAGTCGTACATTTAGAAGTATAGAGAGATATCACAAGATCAAAACTACAATGCAAGGATTAATCCATCAAATATATAATCTTTTAGACAGCCATGTTGATGAGAATTACAGAGTATCCGTTGTAATAGTTGGACCGCCTGGATCTGGAAAGTCAACGATTGCAGAAGAAGTTTGTAAGAGGTTAAATGATGAGTACCACAATAATGTCAAACAATCAGGTGATAACCTTACTTTAGTAGATGGACCAATGTGTATCGATTTAACAGGGTCAATTCAGCCCATAACACCTTCCTTACAAAAAGAAATAGAAAACAATAATGGAATTGTTCCGTCTTTGGTCGAAAGCACAGACTTCAACCCAGTTAAATGCATTGATAGTAACAATGCGCAAGCTACAGTAACAATTATTGGAAGAGGAGGAATTCCAAATTCAATTTATATCGAAAAAGCAACAGAAAAGGACACTGATAAGATGATATTAGCTTCCCAAATCGATATTGCTCAGATTGTGCCCATGGATGGTTTCCATTTGTCTAGGGCCTGCCTCGATAAATTCAAAGATCCAGAACAGGCTCATCTTAGAAGAGGTTCACCCGCAACTTTCGATAGTAACAATTTTGCTGAACTCTGTAGGATCTTAGCCAAAACTGCAGCTATTACACCAAAGAAAGTTCACACTGACAATTTATGGGGGAAAATTGCAACAACGTTCTATAAAGATATGCCTGATATTTATGTTCCAAGTTTTGATCACGCTAAGAAGGATCCCACAATAAAGGGCATTCTGATTTCGAAATTTACTAGAGTTTTGATATTCGAAGGGTTGTATTTATTATACGATAAAGAAAACTGGAAAACTGTATATTCCACTTTAACCGACACTGGCGCTGCTATTTTTCTAAATATCAGTGTTCCTGAAACAGTATTGGAAGATAGGGTAGCACACAGACACGTTAAGAGTGGATTGGTAGATAACTTGGATGCTGGGATATTGAAGTTTCGAAAGAATGATTTATTAAACGCCAAGGATATCGCCTGCAATACTATTTCTTCTGATCGAATTCAAACTATTGAAAACATATAAAAAAATAAAATAAATTTGCATAGCGAATAATTTCGTTGTAGTTTGGTGATGTGAGGATACATAACCTATAGACATAATTCGTATTGATATATATATACATATATTATTTACCGGAAAAGAGAGTCATAGAATTTCATTTATTTGTTGTGAGGGAACCCTTAAAGTCTGGGTAAAGCGAAATAAATATATACTTAGAGTGTGTAGAACGCGCCGAGCATTTAGATAATTGTAGTGGATAAAATAATATATTGTGAATGTGTTATGATATCAGGTTCGTATGGAAAGGAGGGAGACATATACAGCAATTGGTCTTTATAAGTAAAAGTTCAGGAATTTTTGTTGTGAGTAGAAATATTCCTTTCGTTATTACTCAATAGTGCAGATGAGTTTCAGTAACAATTATACCAGTAATAATGCAGTACAGCAGCAACAGCAACAGCAACAGCAACAGCAACAGCAACAGCAACAGCAACAGCAACAGCAACAGCAACAGCAACAACAACAACAACAACAGCAACAACAACAACAACAACAACAACAACAACAACACCTTTTTATGAACCCGCAAACTGAAAACCTTCAACAGCTATATACGTTGGTTCAGGAGCTTGTAGAACAAATTAATGAGAATAAAAAACAAAAGTCACAGATTTTACACAAAATCGATACATTATCGAATCATATAAATAGGGAACCAGAAAAAATTAAGGAGAACTATAAAAAAGATATCCTTGAATTTAATAACTTCCTGGATAGGAAAATTGGTTCTTACTCCTCTAAAAGTTACGGTATTGGAGGAATGAATAAGGCTAACCATAATGACGAATCGCCTAGAGAAAGCGTAGAAATTCTGAAGATGCAAAATCTGAAATTAAAAGAATTACTTGAGAGTGAACAACAAGAAACCTTACGTAATTTTGAGATTCTTGGACTTCACGAAGAGGGTTTTCATAAAATAATTGAAGCACTACGTTCTGACATAGTAAGTTACAGAAAAGTTGTATCAGATATTGTTTCTAACAAGTTCCAAAATGAAGTTATTCCAAAAGAAAATTTGGAATTCGAGGTATATATGGATAATATTGACGATTTCCAAAAATTGATGAAAATATCAGAAGTATACAGAACGGTATTAAAGTTTTTGAATTCGAATATATAAAATATTGTTAATCCTTTAGGTACAAACACACTTGGTTAGTTATAAATGATAAGTGGTTACTTCAGCCGTAAAAGAATGCCACTAGGTATTTTTACAGATGTTTGTCCCAGCCTGGAGTCATAACACCCCTTGGTTATTGATTCTATTTAATACGAATGTTTGAGAGTAAACCAATTTTCTTTCCACTGTTTCTCAACTTAGCTAGAGGGATACTGATTGCAGATAGTAATTGGCCCTTCGTCGATACTACGTATTGTAATGGACTCTTTCTATATGTGATTCAAGTAAATATACAGGAACATCATGGATAGCACTTACACTCTCCACAATGACAAGGCAGGATCTAAATATTCTTAAATAGATAGTAAATAAATGAATTTTAATTCAGTTACTTAAACCCAACCGTTCAAACTACTTTCCTTAATCATGTAGTTGGTAAGTAATTTTTTTAACTGTTCATAGTATTAAGGAGTGCTATTTGTCTCAGATGTTCCTCTTTTATGCCTAATAATACCAGTTGCACCAATTCCTAAAAATGCGATCTACATCCAGGTACTTCTTTACCTTTCAAATTATGCACTTTTGATGAGTACATATTATAGCACAACATATATTTGTCAGAAATATATTATAAGAGGGATAATGACCAAGGTTATGATCTGATGCTAGATTCATCCCGCAATAGTCTATTGATAGCTTCATCCCGCAACAACTTAATAATAGATTACTTGCGCCACTGTCGAGTAAGTTTATAATCACGACAATGATAATTCAACATATATAAATGGAATAATATTTCATTTATGAATATAATTGATTCCATAATTTACTTTATATATTTTTATATAAGATATAAAAACTCAGACGACTATAAGTTGATTTTACAATATAATAACATTTGTTCAGTTAAATAGAATGTTAAACAGAGTTGCTGTTGTTAAACTGGTCATCTTTTGCGCATAGTAATGTTGGACAATATAGCTCCAATAAATCCAATTTAGGGGAAACAGATACTACATTATGCAGTATATATCATGTATTATTATATATATGGTAGTGCAGTACACTCTAAAATTCTACTTATATTAGCTACCTTCTCCTTCAGATAGGTTAATCTAATGTTAGCCTTTTTAGTGCTGCCGCTACATTTCAACATAGAAGATGTCTAATATTCAATTTTCCCATCAATGAACGAAACCAGATTTAACTTTACTATTTAAGCTTCAGCTCAGTTACCCATTTACTCCTCTATAATCAAAAATAGAGGACATAAGAGAGAATAAAATGTTGTGGGAATATTAAGTAGCGATACTTATTATGGTAACAATTCATGAACAGATAGAACATACAAGTATGTTCTATAGCAACTGTTCTAAAAGGATCACGTGGTCACTAATTATCACGTGACATGTATATTATAATATCGGAAAAACTATTAGAAGATATTTTTCCGATAACGCGCGATGCGCTTCAAGAAAACTTTTCCTGCGATGAGATGCCCATTGTACATTACTTCATTTATTAAAGAGATATTATCTCCTCGAGATATATCTGGGTATCTATCTATATATTTATAGGATTAGCTTGTATACTACTTTATGTAATCGATTAACGAATAGAAATTATACAAGCAATCTTTATAGAAATGACAATCGTTCCCAATCCTAATTCTATTAGGATCTACTCTCTTGCCAATCTACGTCAACATAAAAATATAAAACTAGGAAAAACAAAGGTTACCCGGTCATTATTTTGACTTGATTAACTTCTTGAAGAACATATTTTTATTGTATGACTTCGTGGCCAAGCTGGTTAAGGCGTGCGACTGTTAATCGCAAGATCGTGAGTTCAATCCTCACCGAGGTCGTTTTTTTAAATGTTTAACTATTTAAGAGTCGTTATCGACCTATGTAGTAAGGTAATTCTTTTTGACCAACTCATTAAATAGTTATATACTATCAATATATTATGTGAACCATTAGCTAACATTTTGGAAAATGAATATATATCAATTTTTTTCCTTTAAACATTGATGTATTCTATTTTTTTTAATAAGAGATAATTATATGAAGATCTGATGTAGAGTTCCGCATATATCACTAAAACTGTATTCTTGGTATTTTGTATTACTATTCTTCGTTAATGACCTGAATGTGTACTATTAATTTTATAAAGGGCTCAAGCGGCATAGAGACATTAAAACAAACGACTACTATCTTTAAAATAGGTTCAGTACTTAGCCGCCGAACTTTTTAGACGACCAAAGATCACTTTCCAAATAAAAGCAACATACCACAACAAATGAAAGAACATAACTTTTCAAGTTTTATAAACCAAAACTTGTTTGAAGAAAGGCCACATAACACAGTTATTAAGAGTACTTCAAGAAATAAGAGATTGTTTGTGAAGAACGACCATGTGAAGAGCACAGAAAAATCTGAAAACAACGTTACTAATACCACATGTGGTTCACAGTTGCGCCTTAGTTCTTACAGAGATATTTTCCAAACTACTGTTACAAGAGGTACAAGTAAAAGAACAAAGATTCGTACTGTACCAACCCTTACGGAGGTACTGGATAACTCTCCAGATAGGATAATATGTTCAATATTCGAAAATAGAAATAGTTCCGAAACAAAAGTTGGAATATGTGCCATAAATTTAAACCTTGGAACACTGACTTTTTCGGAATTTATTGATTCCCAAATATTTATCAGAGTCATTCATAAATTACAAATTTATAATCCAACTGAAATACTGGTACCAACAACATCAGTAGTTCCTACAAATTCGAAATTGGTATCTGTAATTAAGTATAATGTTCCTGAGGTTACAAAAATTTCAAATATTCCACATAAGTCTTTCGACGATCATGAAGGGCTACAAATTATCAATAAATTCCAGATTGACAACAAAAAAGGGAATTTTGTAGAGAAGACGCATGGGCTACGTGCAATTGCGGGTGTGTTCGACTTCATAAATAGTCGTAATACAAAAGGTAGTCTGTCATACAAGTTCAAAAATTTGAGGATTATTTTCGAGACTCCAGATGATACAATGTTAATAGACCCATTAACAATAAAATGTTTAGAGTTGGTAGAAAATAATATAGAGAAAGATAGGTTGTCTTTACTCAAATTCTTGGACTCTACATCAACGAGTATGGGTAGACGATTGCTCAGAAATAACATTTTGCAACCATTGACGAATAAACAGGGTATAGCACTTAGAATAGAAGCAGTTAAAGAATTACTAGAAAATGATGGACTTCTAGATAACGTTTGTTCAAATCTTAAACATTCTCACGATATGGATAAATTATTTTCAAGACTTTTGTATGTTGACAACTTCACTATTCAAGCGGAACAAAAAATAAATTATGTTTTGTTGTTCAAAAATACCATTCATCTAATTCAAGTAATTAATGAAATATTGGATGAAGTTGATATAAAAAGCCCTCTATTGAAGGAAGTTAAAAGAATCCTCAATTCTGCAACAATCACGACTGCCAAAATAGAAATCGATAGTGTGATTAGCGAAGATTGTGGATGGGCCTCCTCTAATATAAACTTACAAAATCAAAAGATCTATGCTGTCAAAAATGGGTCTAATGGGTTATTAGAAGCAGCCAGAGGTATTTATAAGAATATCATCGACCAAATTTCAGAAGAGGTCGAGCAACTGTCTGATGAGTTGGGTATAACGTTAGATCACACATTAGATTCATCCAGAGGGTTTGTTATCAGAATATCTAGGAATGACTGGCCTGATATGAATACCCTCCCCAATGAATTTATAAATAAAGTGGTGAAAGGTAAATGGATTGAGTGCCATACTTTGAAATTGATCAAGTTTAATACAAGATTAAAGGATATAATAACTGAAATATGCCTTCTCAGTGAAAAAACCGTTCATTCACTTCTTAATGAGCTATCAAAACATATTGCCACCTTTTTTATGGTATCAGAAGCCATCTCATTACTAGATTTAATCTGCTCTTACAGTATCAACACTTCAAAGTATCAATATACCTTTCCGGAGTTTGGTTACAATATTCAAGTGGAACAAGCAAGACACCCTGTACTTGATACTACACTTACTGATTTTGTCCCAAACAATATTAGAAGTATCAAAGGCAGCTCCAACCTTCAGATTATAACAGGGTGTAACATGAGCGGAAAGTCTGTTTATATGAAACAGGTTGCACTTTTATGCATTATGTTCCAAATTGGTTGCCCTATACCTGCCAAATCAGCTACCTTACCTATATTTAAAAATCTCCAAGCAAGGTTATGCAATGATTCTTTAGAATTAAGTTCCTCAAATTTTATGTTCGAAATGAAAGAAACAGCATATTGTATGGATGACCTCTCTGAAGATACGCTGTTAATACTTGACGAACTAGGGAGAAATTCTAGTGTTTGTGATGGACTTGCAATTTCTCTGGCGGTAACTGAATTTGTGCTGCATTCCAAGTGTGTAGCATTTATCTCTACACATTTTCAGGATATCCCAAACATATTGATCAACAAACCGTCAGTGGTACATCATCATATGAAGACAGATATTTTAGGAGATAAGTTAAAAATGTTATACAGTCTACAGGAATCATCTCCTGTCATCGAACATGGGGCATTAAGAGTTGTTTCGAATATCTTTCCAAAATCTGTAATAGATGATTCATATGTAATTGCCGACAACTTATCTAACTGTCGAAACAATAATGGAAACGATTCTGATACCCTTTCAAGTGATATGCAATTAGACCGAGAAGAGGTAAACCAAATGAAGAAAATTCATAATTTTATTTCGTTGCTGAGACAAAATTCCTTGGAAGATAAAATAACTCTCGACACACTAAGGTTATTACAAACGCAATTTATGGAATCTTTTACTGAATGACAAAATAATGAAGCATAGTAAAAACCTATATTGCAAATAAAACAAGTTGCTTTCATTAGATCACGATTAAGGAAAACTAATTCAATAGTAGTAGCTCATACTTTTGCGCACATATATATACATCAGAGTAAAATACATAAATACAATGGATACGGGTGACTATAAGAAATAAGAAATTGTACCATAGATGAATATTATATGCATTTTTTTTAAATGTTTTCTGACATTTTGCTTCGTATATAACAATATTTAGTTTTGTTCTGCGCCAACCAACTGGAATATAAAATTTTGAATTGATTGTAGGGGTTTTGATAGTTCTTCAGATTGCCCATTAACTGTTGACGTAGCAAACGCTTGGTTCTTCCTCGTCGCAGCATCTCTGAATGCGACTAAGAAATTTACAATCAAAGTAAATGCCAATACAACAGCAACAATGATAGGTCCTAATGGAGCATCTAAGTGTTTACCACTTCTCTCCTTTATCACCTTCAATCTATCCATATAAGTTTTATAAGACCATAGACCACAAAAGATAGTTAGGCCAAAATATATATACGCCAGAGTATTTGCCAATTTTGGAAAAGCGGCTTTTCTAACCGAGTTATAAATAGAGAATGTTAAAACACTTAATAATGTAGTAACCTTCAACCATCTATTAAAAGTACGTTCATTGGCCAACCAAACTTTAGCTTCAACTTTAACAGGACCAGCATTTTTAATATAACTGGTTGGTTTTCTTACACCAGCAGGTAAGATAATTTCTTCTTCTTCTGAATCAAATCCAGTTAATTTAGACTCTCTACCAGCCAAAATATTTAAAAAGATAGCCTCAGTGGTTTGGTTCTTTTTTGGAATTCTTCTGACACCCTTCTTTAGTTGTGTTCTTCTGCCGGATTGACCCTCATCCTCATCCTCGGATGATTCATAATCCTCTAAGTCAGCCTCGTATGAAATTGGGTTCACTGTATCGGTAGTACCATTTGGATTAATGATATTGTTTTCTCGTTGAACCAATTCTGAATCAAATTCATTTAATGAAGGTGGCTGTTTTTGAATCTTTGATAATCTTCTCATTCCATCTAATCTCTTTTGGATTTCTTTTTGTTTTTTCAATTTCAATTCTTCTTCTTCATAGGCTTGTTTTGGATTTCTTCTAATGTCATTTTCTAATTCAGGTAACCAGAATGGTAGGATATCTAATTTATCATCTTCTCCGAAAAGCGTAGCAATACCTTGAATAAAAGTTGAAAATTTTGGAATTTCTTTTACTAAATGAGAATTAGTTAATTCGGTTAACCATTGACCATGTTTTCTTGGTAATTTCTCCATAGACATTATTGATTTACCGGCAAAAGAATTCCTTTCTGAGTTAATCTCTTTAATCTTAATTTCCATAACAGAAAATGGAAATTTCGCATATTCTCCCGATCGTAAGAACCTCATTGGGTTTGAGACATCTGCATCAATATCAGTTCTATGCCAACTCTTTGGGTCCCTAACAGGTCTTGACTTATCAAATGAATCTTCTCTAATGTATAGGATATCTGAATCGATAGTGACTCTAATTCTATCATCACCTGGGATTTGGAACGCAGTTCTTGTATACATTGTTCTCATAACAGGTTGAAGTTGTTCTTCCATTATGAATTTTTGCATAGTTTCGAAATCTGATTGGGTCTTAACAATAGTAGAGTTTGGAGAACCACTTTCTTTCATTCTTCTAAGGACAGATTCTTCATATTTCTTTTCACCATCAAAGACGAAACCATTTAAATATTTTTGTTTCATTTTTAATCTTAATTCTTCAAAATGAGCAGGTTGATCATCATCATTGTTATTATTACCATCAGCAACCATTTTTTTCTCCAAAAATAAATCAGGCTTATCAACTAATTTACCAGTCCATCTTAATCTTAAAGTGGGAGCATTACTACTTTTCAATAATTTATTATTGTATAATTCAAAGAATTCGTTATCGAAATACAAAGTAGTAATCATTGGATCTAAAGAATTATGGCCTAATTTTCTGTCACTTGTGACAGGACTTGAATTTGAAGATTGAATACCACCATCAGTATCTAATATTTCAGATTCAAATTTATCAATTAAATCATCATTTTCAGTTGGAGTTTGAGCGTATACTAGCACAGGTAAATGACGTAGAATTCTAGTCTTGACTTCCATTAAATTATCTTTATGAATCCAAAATTTATAAATCTTATATTCTGTATTTGATGGTTCAACAGACGCAACATTTGATAGTTTTGAAGTACTTGCTAAAGATTGTGAAACAGTGCTGAAATTTCCTCTTAAAATATTATAAAGATAAGAAATACGATATAATAAAGGGGAATATTCTTCTGAATGGAATGGTAATTCTTTTAATCTAACTTCCAATAAAGATTTAACCGATGGATATTTTGGATGTAATTTATCATGTTTCTTAACAATCTTAATGAATCCCGTAAAATTTAATCTTGAAAAATTATCTAATTCTTGAGCTTCTGTTAAGGAATCTTCAAGAATACGTTGAAAATTTTCTGGATCAATACTTTTAATCTTTTCTTCTGAAGATGTTTGTTTTTCTAAATTGATTAATTTATCTAAAAGATTATTATATTTTTGAATTTGGAAAGAATAAACATTTTCTAATTCTTTATCTAATGCTTCAACAAATTTTGATTCATCTCTTTCGGACCACGTGTCTGCAGCAGTTGCATTAGTGACTTCTTTTTCCTTAAGTAAATCTTTCAAATGATCATAGTTAATATAAGAATCCTTCCAAGGAGGATACATCTCATTAACTAATTTCACACCAAACAACATCTTATTTTTGATAGTTTGCTGTTTAGTTTAACGTCTTGTGTGTCACTAGGAAGATAAATAGCTGTCTGATAAGGGAAGATATAAACGGATCCCTTTATTTTTTTTTAATAAAAAGTCCAAAAAATAAATAAATACAAGTACTGTTCTTGCAAAAAAAAAGCTTGGTAATATATATATATATATATATGTGGGTAATATATTGATTCCTAACTTATTTCAGGTACTTCAAAATGAATTAGATGCAACCAATAACCCAAGAAGAATGCAGTATATTATTATAAGAAACGATCTCTTGCTGTAATAAAAAATCGTCTTATTTATTTCCTTTGTCTTCTTAACTTTTAATTCCCTTTCCCGTTCCAAGAAAACGAAAAACAGCTGGAAAAAAAAGTCACAACATGTGCTAAAGAAGAGCCAAATAAAACAGACAAATGAGATAAGAACAATTAGAACAATAGGAATAGACACAGCAAATCAAGTGAGGTTGAAATCGAGGGATAGTTTGGTATACGTATTAGGTTGGTGTTTTTTGAAAAAACATTTTTCTTGAAATATTTATCTAATGGAACAATCATATACACAATCATTTTATATATATTTAATGCAGAAAGTAATGGTAGAGAAATGAACGAAAGAAAGGATAAGACAATAGACAATAAAATATAATATAATACATCCATACACAATGGATAAGTGCTGACAATTTTTTCTTGAATATACTACTACTACATATTATGATTTTTGTGGGTTGATGTTACATATAAGTCAGTCATGATAAATAAGAATACTTAAATCGATGTATCCGTCCTTTTGTCTTGTTTTATTTTAAAATTATTCAATGTAATTAACATGTACATAGTTGTTCATTGAAACAATAGATTATAAATATGAATGGCACGTTTTTCATCTTGGAAAGAGGCATAACCTGTAGCGATCTATGTCTGTATTTCTTAACGAGGATGCTTTTTATATTGGAAATATTATAAATTGGTAGTAACATATGTGAATATACATATGTCTGTTCTTATTTTCTAACTATTAATCAGTAGTTTCTCTCCGCAAGTTGGTTTATACACTACATACATACTCTTCCCTTATACTATGGGATATCTTCTAGGGAGGAAATAAATTATAGTAATACTATCCGTTAGTGACGTGACATATACCCAGGAGCCAATATATATATATATAGTTCATCTTTAATTGGGGTAAAGTCTTCTACCAGAACTACATTCAAAAAAAAAAAAAATTAAAAAATTCAGATTGTTTCTTAATATATATAAAAATACATATTCATATAGTCTTAAAATTGTAGATATATCACAGTGTTGTAGCAAAAATACTTATATAGAGATGAAGAGTGGGAGAGTAAAAAATAATAACAAATAGTTCATTTCAAAGGAAATAATAAGAATAAAAAACGGTGATACGTAAATAAATCACTTTGAAAAAAGTACTACTTAACAACAACCAGATTTGGAACTACTACTACTTGTGTTAATATTAATACCATCTCTACCTGTATCACCACCACTTACTTGATTACTATCCACTTTCTCCTGAATTAATTTAGCCAAAGTGAAAAAAATATCATCAACATTATTATCATCTTTAGCACTTGACTCTACAAAAGGTATCCCGAGTTCCTTGGCAAGAGTTTCCCCTTGTTCGATCGTTACTACACGTGTGTCCATATCACTCTTATTACCAACTAATAACAATTGTGCATCATCATTAGCATGTTCACTAACAGTATTAAACCACGTCTTAATATTTTTAAAAGTACGTTCATCTGTAACATCATATACAAGGATAATACCCATAGCACCACGATAATAGGCTGTAGTAATAGTACGGAATCTTTCTTGGCCAGCCGTATCCCATAGTTGTAATTTAACTTTCTTACCGTTAATATCAACGGTCTTTATTTTGAAATCGATACCAATAGTAGTAATAAATGAAGGACTAAACTTATCTTCGACAAAACGTACTAAAAGACAAGATTTTCCAACACCAGAATCACCGATCAATAGGATCTTCATAATGGAATCATAGTTTTTGGCATTCCCTGACATCTCTTGCTTAACTTATTTTAATATGCTTCCGTTATGTAATATGTTTCCCCTTGAACTTAATTATAAAACAGGTTTCTTTATAGTGGAAGCTCTTCTTTTTAACGGTCCTATTAAAAGTATTAAGTATTAATAAGATTAATAAGATTAATAATAATTAAGACCCACTCTTTATCCAAATAGAAGCCTTTCTTGTAATTCTTGCACTTTCATGAGATAATAGGTTCCGTTTCTTTGTCTCCTCCTGTATTGGTTTCTTTCTTTTTTTTTTTTTTCTTTTCCTTTTCTTTCACTTCCTTTCTTGAGGCAGAAAAAATTGATTTAGGCTCTGAAATTATATTGAAGTTGAAGGAATTAGTACCAAAAAAGAGTATAAATGGAGAGTAATGTGTGATGATCCAGAAATTTAACAAGAATAAGTTATCTACGTGGATACGAATAGGTATATTTAGACACAATATATAGTCTCACTATTTTCAGTCCGAACTTATTTACTCTCACATAATAGGGTATAATGCATGTTAAAACTAGAAAGGAAGACTACCTCGTTGTTTTGATGTAGAAAGACGCCTAAGTAATACTACAGGATAAGCTCAATGCAATTTCTACAAACTTGTTTAAAACTATGTTATTTTGTATTTTTTTTAAAATAAATAAATAAAGGGTATGTTTTGTTGTACTCGAGGTACACCTGATAACTATTCCTGAAAAATGTCGTAAATGTTAAAAATATTTGATTAAATAAGTAAATGTACATATGTATTAATAATGTTTATATAATGATAAAGTGTTCAACATTGCTAATCATGCATAGTAACTACGCCATAGAACACCTTCTAGATCCTCTAATTCATCCGAAGTAAAGGAAGCCCTATCAAATTTCCAAGTGTCGGCTCTAACTTTCTTAAATTTGTTAATTGTATCCTTGGCCGCCGTACCACACATCCCATTAGTCCGGGCCCATGTTGACACTATAGCCAATTGAGTCGGAATCCATGACGGTAATGGGAACACATATGGGAATGCATTGATGATGGCACCTAAACCCAATAAACTAGCATGTGCCTCAATATCAGTCTTCGATAATGTCTTCTTTTCCTGCCAAGTATACTTTTGTAACACTTTATCGAACGTCTTGCACATAGTCTGAACTCTTTCCGTTGCACCCATGTTATGGACAATATCTGATAGTACTGCGGCTGCTTGTACCCTCACTTCCATATATGTAGGATTATGCAACTGGTGTATAATGAAATCATAGATATGATTCTTATCATCTTCAGTCAACTGCAATAAAAGGTTCGAAAGTAAAAATTCAAGGAAGATTAATTGAACCCTTATTTGGTAAGATGAGGTTGATGATGCCTGTAAAATTTGTGAGGCATTGGAGTTACTTAACAAACCAATCAAGTCTTTGATGTAACTTTTTCTAATAGCCATGGAGCCTAGATTTAGAATTACTCTACCTGGGTCAATACCCCCAAGTTTACAAACATCTTTTTGAGTTAGTAATACTCTCAAAAAAGGGATCACATATTCTGTTACGTATGGAATCAATAAAATCCTGTTAGGCCCTTTGACCATTTCCCTTATCCAGTAAAACATGAAAGACGATAAATAAAAGTATTTTGTCTTTATTATATCTTGAGGACTCAAAGAAATAACTTTGGTATAATCTTGAGCAATAGTTGCAAAAGTTGACTTTATGACTTTATCCATCCTCTCAGATATTTGTTTTAATGGAAGTCCTAAACTGCCTTCAGAACTATTGGCCGATAATAAAGTCCCAGAATCTTTCATAGAAGGGTAACAATCATTCTGGATCAATGTAGTAAAAAGACGGGCAGTTGCTTCACGAACTTTAACATAAGGATGGTCAAAGATCAATCCATCCAAAATTGGTTGAATCTCAAAGGATCTATACTCCAAACTTGTCAATACGTTCCTTAACATCATTAATCTAGAACATTGGTCATTTACTCTATCAGAAGTAGCATCCAGCCATCCACCAAGTGTCGCAAAATGTTTCACAAATGGTTGACATCTTCTAACATCAATAACGCATGGCAACCACCAACAAAGCGTACTCCAAATATCAAATGCATCTTGATTTAGTTCTTCATTAATACATTTGGATATGAATTTTTCTAAAAAGATCTCTTGGGTTTTAATTTTATCCTTTGTAATGTATTTGGTAGAGTACATCATTGCACCTATAATTTCAACAGATATGATCATTGAAGCTTTATCCGTAACCACATAAAACGATTCACACATTTCACATAGGTTATTGAACGTCAAAGATGTGAAACCCTTTGAAATCAGAATAATTACCACCACAAAATAAGAAACTTCACTACTGCTAAAGACTACTCTTGTCTCATTATCTTTAATTAAAGCAGTTATCATAGTGTCGAGATATTCCCTTGTAATCAATGATCCAAATGTTCTAAATACATCTTCCTCTTCTTGGGTTAGATTTATTTCAAATTTGTGGGATGTAATCACTTTCATATTTTTACCCCAACATAACCATCCTTGATATGCTTTTGTGTCAATAAAAAATTGTGGATCAGAAAAATTGTTCATTTCCACTAAAAATTTATTTTTAAAATCATCCCCTTCAGTAGAAATATCTTTAACTGTTTCAGGGTCAAATGAATCATCTATAGAATTCACGATAGTATGATTATAATCAGAAAGTGCCAGAATCTTATTACTAATTGACAACAGAGACTTTAATACCAAATGTATCAATTTTGGATGATTTGAATAACTTTGAACAAATATTGTCTTCAAACTTTCTGCATCAGTTGGCATTTCCAAATCAGACTGAATCTTAGTAATAAACCTGATAAGGAATACCTGTGTTCTCCAACCGAATTGACTACCATCTAAACATTTTACAATATTTGAATTTAACTCTGTAAGTTGCTCCAAATAAAGTTTTCTTTTGTTTTCTTTGGCCTTCTTCACAGCTTCTACTTGAAGGTTTATGGATGAATCTGGTGGCGCGATGGCCTTGTACATTCGTTCATCATATAGACATACACTAGGAGGTATTTTGATACCAAGCATAATATCTGTCAGAATGATATCTGCATGCACATCTATATCAAATTCACTTATATTACAACAGTCTAACACTAAAGAGATAAAGGGACCAAGTGACTTATAATCCTTTATCATTTTTGAAAGAATTTTTTTCGAACGACAAACCTTTAAGCATGCATCCACTTTTTTATTGGAATGATTCTCTAGAGATTCCTTTAAGGCTTCTGTTACTTGTTTAGAAACAATAGAGTATGAACCAATTAATTGTTTCATACATTCTACCAAACAACCCTGCGCACCTCTTTGAATATCTGGATACGCCGACATAGATAGATTTACTAAATCTCTCAGAAGTTGAACTTCTAATTTAGATGGGTACCTATTAGTACTATGCATGATAACGCGATCTTGGTGATATCCGTTCACTTTCGAAGAGAGACATACTCTTGTATAAAGTTGGTCCAAGTGGGAGAGAGATTGCAAATTTTCAATAAATTCGACATCAATCATAGTAGAGGCAGTATCACTGTAAAAGCTTCCATGACCGAGATCCATAAACCATGTACTCATACCATGTAATAGCACTTCGTGTATAGTTGTACTATTTTCATAATTCTGGTTGAACTGTCCATAAAGTTTGTGATAAAATAGACCAATTTTTGATCTAACCTTGTGAAACTCAAAGTATAAGGGATTTTCAAAATTCTCCTCCACAGTAGAGCCAAAATAATAATTGCACTTGTAAATATCCAAGTCCCTAAACGAGAGATCACCATTCAAAGACGAATTAGGGACAGATTGTCCTGGTACTGGAGTACAGATAGCAGAAGGTACCTCTGACATGCCATCTTCAATAGCATACAATTCGTCTGGAATATAATCATTTACAACAACAATATCTGATTTTGAATCTGAAACACTACTATTATCTCCATATTCAGAAGATGATTCTTCGTCTTCCTTCCCCAAATTTATCTGTTCAATATCAATATTTAGGTCCTGGGTATCATACTTTTTCTCTCTCACGTATTTTAATAACAATAATTTTTCTCTGTACGATGATTGATCTCCTACTTTAGAACTATGAATATTTTTGTTAAAATTTGAATCAAAGAGTAGACTAGACCCAGATAATCCATATCCCAACAACAACATGTATTTTTGCAAATGATCATTTGTCTTAGTAGTAATTGGCCTGATACTTAAAATTTCCTCAATCTTTTCAATAGCAAGATCAGTGCTCCATTGGAATAATTCAAATGTCGTTTCAACTTCTGCTTTACTAGGAATATGCCATCTAAAGTTCAAATTTTCTGGATCAAATTTTCTAGAATCAAACTGTAGTCCACCCCACCTATCTTCATCAGGAATTGAACAAAGTTCCGAAAACATCTCTTGACCTATTATTTCTGTAGTGGTCAACGAACTCAGTATATTGTGAATGGACACAGTTGTGAGTGAATCCAACACTGGATTTGAAATATTTTCTATTAGGTATTTGATAAATTCTTGCAATTCAGTCTTATAGGGAATTAGAGCGTCATAACTAAATCTTAAAACTTCATTGAATGTAATCAGGTATAAGGCAAGTTTGATGTCTCTACCTTGTAAAGTTGCATCTCTAACTGAACCGCCACCTCTTTCCACTTGTTCTTTCATATTTATCATCAACATTTCTAAAACAGAATTGATCAAAGATGGCTTTCTTCTAACTAGACAGGCCATAGGTGTTGAAATTAACACGTAATATGGTGATTCGCCCTTAAAAGCTTCATTATCCCAAAATTGTTTAACAAAAATGTCGGCAAAATAATCCAAATGTTGCTCATCCAAGGCTTCTATCAACATTAAAGTTGTCTGGTTTAATTTTACCACAAAATTATCAGTTAACTCGTCATCTACTAATTGGTACAATTTATCAATATATTGCAAAATAATATTTTTAAATTCAGTGGTCGAAGCTCTAAAGGATCTTTCTAGTAATTCATTATCAAATTCAAATGGTTCTTTACTGTTTTCTTTGAAATACATATAATGTTGTTGAACAAATGGAATGGTATCTGACTGGAATGACAAATACTCGTTTTTACCAACAAGTGACTTGAACGGGGTAAAAGATACAATGGAGACCACAATATTAATTATACTTCCAGTCAGAATTAAATCGTTTGAATCTATCTTATCAATGAGCATCGTTAAAATATTGGTAATATGGACACGATATAACTTGTCAATGGTCATGAATCTCACCACTCTAGTGAATTGCTTAAAAGCTGAGAAAATTCTATGTTTCGCTTCGATATATTCACCTGACAAAGCATCGTACATATCTTCAAGAACCCTATCAAATATCAAATGGCGGTTAGTAGATTCTAAATCTAGCAAATATGCAAAACAAGAAATATAATAGTTTGCAACATCCACATTTTTGTTTTGGGCACCAATTCTTAGAGTATTAAGGAACATATCAACAATTTCTGAATTACATTCTACAGTCAAACATCTATAACTAGAATCTTCTATTGCGCTTCTTTTTTCCAATTGAACTCTTGCATGGTACATCTTGATAAAAGTATGAATAAATTTAGCAATTGGTTTAGTCCATACACCCATATTTGATGGATAAATATATGTTTCCAAGGATCTCATTAATGATCCCAATTTATCAAAAAACGCATGGTTTTGTTCTTTATCACTCATAATACTGTAAATAAATGGTCTCAACATCTTTGAATAAGAAAATACTTGTGCATTAGTTCTTAAATGACCTTGTAATCTATTAAATAAAAATGTCATTTGATCATCAGTAAAAATTCCATATTTATCTAATTTTATTCCAGTATTATTTAAAAAGGAATCACCCTTCAACAATAATTTAGAATGGATATCTTCAGCTACATGACCCACAAAATCAAATAGGTTTGTATCTACTACAACATTAGCGTTTACAGAAGTCCATAGAGAAAAACAAAATGGGAAGTAATCAATGACACTAGAGGTTTTGTGATAATGACACGGTATATATGCTGCCATTATAGGTAGAATTGTTGACAAAGTAGCAGGTGAAAAACTGGATAGTAAAATGTCCATTGATTCTTTAACTATTGATTCATCATTTTCATCAAAGAATGGTCTTGAATGAATGGCTAATCTCAATAACGATTTAAATAGTTTTGAATCATCCTTCGAGGATAAGTCATATCGGGTATAATCTGCGTCAGGGTATGGTAGGAAAGAGCAAAAAAACTTGAACAAAGGTTTATGATCTAGCACAAGACCTGATTTATTCAATAAAGCTGTGAAATCCTCACCTTCATCCAAAGTATCCACTAATATTTCAAATGTTTGAATATGCAAGTCTCTAGCAACTTTCTGTCCTTTAACCAAGACCAAATAATAATAAACTGTGGCAAGGGATTTTCTTAAAGTTAATGGTATATCGAAAATTAAACAATTTTGTAACTCATTGGTCCAATGGTTTACATTAATAATGCTGGAGGATTTGGTAGTAATTTTACCTCTAGAATGGGCATCTGGTCCCATTGCATTAATATAATCATTTTCATTATATAATTCTTCATCATCAAAACTTTCATAACCTGCCGGAGTATCTTCTCTTGCAATTCTGAATATATCTGTTTTCAAAGCTAAATCATCAATTTGGGATTTCAATTCACCAAGATCCTTATTAGAAATTGAAATCGACCCTTCTACATCTAATGAAGAGATGGCAATGTATAGATTCACAAGCACATGACATAAATATTTTGCTTGTTCCTGATGAGTTTCAATCTTATAAGGTAAGTTTTCAGAGGGTCTAAATTTTGGTTTAACGTTTCTACTAAACCATCTTGATTCGGGATCAAACAAAGCTTTCTTATAAGTTGTTTCATCCTCCGGATAATCTAAGTCATAATGTTTCATTCTGTCATTAAGGATCATATCTGTTTTAAATTCACTAGGTGATTTCCATCTTGTAGGAGTGGCCGATCTGGCTCTTAACGGACTTCTACTTAACAAAGAGGGTATTTCCGGTGATCTGACACCTGGTGTCCTTGCTTGTCGTTCATCACTAAATCTTTTAATTGCCAATTCTCTTAAATTTAGATGGGACATTACTTTGTTCCGTTTTATAGGGATTGGGGCTTGTAGATCTTCGTGAGACATTATGAAATAAATGTAAAAGGGATGAAATATTTAATGTTCAAAGAAGATATGAACAGTCTTTATATGCCTAAATTAAAATTAAAATTAAAAATCAAAAGTGCGTGGGTACAATAATAATAAAATAAAATAAAGTTAAAAAGGTAGATTGATGATCAATTTATTTAGATATAACACCTTTTGAAAGCCAGTAAAAAAAACTGCAAATATAAGTTTGTGCAATTCTCAATTAGGCAAATACGATTCTAATCAAAGGGTAGTATTATATTAGCAAAACATTATCTTGTTCTTTCGGTTAATTATTTAAATCAATGAGGTAGTTTTAACACCCTTTCCACCTATATATATATAGTTAAAAACCCTGAAAAATTCAATATTAGCGTTAGAACATTGCTAAAACGGACGAGGGGTAGTAAATTACTATAATGGATTTTTGACAATCAATACACGCGCGGCTCTCTCTCTCTCTCTCTTTTTCAAAAAAAGGTTATTATGCAATTTAGGGGGGAGGGAGCGGAGCAGGTTTGATTTAAGTAAAATGTTGATTGATAAATGTAATATAATAATATATATATATATATGTATTTATCACTTTGTTTGAAAAGAAAGGATGGTTACTTGGAAATGATTATTTTATTATTACATATGATTTAAATTAGTTTATGTGAGGGAATACAAGCAAATGTGTTAGGAGATATGAGTGTAGTATGTGTTGTGCTCTTAATCTGCGTAGTTTCTTAGGTCTAAGGTGACAGCTTTTGATGTGTTTTCATCAGGCTGTCTAAAGACACCAACTAATGCATCTGATTTTTCAAACATTGAACTCTTCAAAGATATAACAATGAATTGTAAATCAGGATTACCATGTCTTCTAATGTACATAGCAATTCTCTCTACATTAGTAATATCTAATGCTGCATCGACTTCGTCTAATACAAAGAATGGACTTGGATGATATGAATTAATAGCAAATAATAGAGCTAATGCGGCAACAGTCTTTTCACCACCTGATAAGTATTCCATGTCTTTAAATCTCTTTAATGGTGGTGTAGCATGATATCTAATACCACCGTTAAATGGTTCATCTTCGTTCTCTAGAGTTAAAGATGCGTTACCACCACTTAGTTCCATAGAAGAATTTGGATTTCTTGTTAATTCTCTATAGATGGCTGAAAGGTGTTCACTAACATGATCAAAGGCCTTCTCAAATAGATTCTTTCTAGCAGATTTTACCTCACGGAAACGTTTCATAGCACTATTTTCTTTTTCTTTCAAATCGGTTCTCTCTTGGTTAATCTCCCTGAACCTTTCCATTGCATCATCATGTCTCTCTGATGCTCTGGCGTTAGGTTGCAAAACACTCAATTTTTCTTCAGCATTCTTAATTTTTGAAATAAATTCTGAACGAGTAGATTGACCTTTATTTTCTTTATATTTCTTAGGTAAATCATCATAATCAATATCAAGTTTTTGTGATATATCTAGGGTTGTATCATCAATTTGAGCAATTGGAAGATCTGCCAAATCGGTTGCAGAAAGAACAGGAATTTCAATACCTGATATCTTACAATTTTGTAATATACCAACTCTTTCTAATTCTATTTTTTCACCATCACCATTAATCTCATCTATGTGACGTGTTTGTGTCTCTATTTGTGACTCCAAATCAGTGACACGATCCTCAGCAATGGCCAATTCACGTTGTTTAGCAATTAAAGATTCTTGTAAGTTGGAAATTTCTTCATTTTGTTCTTGTATCTTGGTTTCATTCTTAGTTATTTTAGAATGAGCGTGTGTTTCATCATCTTGAAGTGATTTTAACTCGGCCTTGGTCTTTTGTAAATCAGTTTGTGCTTTTTCAAATCTTTTCTCTGTAGTGGCTAATCTTTCTACTTCAAATTGTAATTTATTTTCTACAGTTAATATTTCTTTTTGTAATTGATTCAATTCTTTATTTTGTTTTCTCATTAGTTCTCCAGAATGATTCTCATAATCTTTAATAGTGAAACCAACCTTATCAGTTAATACTTTATATATTGTATCTTGTAGCATTTCTTTCTCCTGGGTCTTGCTATTTATTATATTTTCCAATTCTTGAATTTTTTCCTTTAATGAAACAATTTTTGGTAAATATTCTCTTTCAATTAAATCATTTTGATTTGTTAATTCAACCTTCATATCATCAATGACTCTATTGGTCTGTGTTAAATTAATACGAATATTTGCAATCTCGGAGTTTAACATAGAGATAACACTTTCAAGATCTCTAGCCTTCAATGATGCAGACAATGTAGAGGCAGTCAAGTCTTCTATTTCCATCAACAATTTATCCTTCGAAGTCATTAGACTTTGATATTCTTCTTTATCCCATCTATTGTTTTGATTCTTTGATGTACCACCCGTCATTAGACCAGCTCTATGAATATATGAACCATCCAATGTAACCAATTTTGAATTGATTCCTTGTTCCCATTTCAAACTTTTGGCGATATCTAATGTATCACAGATAATAGTATTAGAACAAACATATTGGATAGCTCTTTCATATTGTGGTTCGTATTCCATAGCATTAATGGCCAATATATAACCGCTACCACCACCTGATACAGGTAATGAAGCGATTTCCGATTCAATTGTATCTAATGGAATGAAAGATGCCGCACCTGTTCTTTGTTTCTTTAAATATGAGATACATTCTTGAGCGGTAGCACTAGAGTCCACAATGATGGAGTCAAAATTTCTACCAAGAACAGTTGAGACGGCCAACGCATATTTATCCTTCTTTGGATGACATAAATCATGAACAAGACCCTTAACCCCTGGGAAAAATCTTTTCAATGTAGTGACATTTTCACGGGTCTTTTTCTCCTTTAACGATTCTCTTTGATTAGCGCTTAAATCATCGATTCTAACTAACGTTTCTCTTAGTTTATAATTTAAATCATATTCTTTGTTACTATTGGATTCTATCTGGGATTGTAAATCCTTTAGTCCATTAACTCTTTCTGTATGTTGCGCATTTTTATCATTTAATGAAGATGTCAATGCTTCTAATTGTAATTTTTTATCTTCTAAATTAATTTGAAGTTCATTATTAATCTTTTCACGAGTTGTCTCTAAGACGTTTTCAAATCTATTCAGTTCTATAGTAATTTCTTCTTTATCATTTTCTAATAAAGCTAAAGTTTCTTCAAGGGGAGCACCACCTTGTGCCAAATATTTACCATTTAATTTTTCATATTCTATTAAATCTTCTTTTGATAATTGATATTGAGTTTGATTCTTATTATTCTCTTTAATTTCTTCTTGAAAAGTCGATTTTGTTTTAGTAGTGACTTTCAATTGTTTCTCATATCTTTCAATATAAGATTTTTGTCTCTCTATATCTTTTTGAAAAGTAGCTATTCTTTGTTCAATTGAATCTATACGTTTCTTAGTAGTTTGTTGTGGTAAATGAACTAATTTTAAATCCGAGATCAATTTCTCATGATCTCTTTGAATATATTCTAATGTACTTTTATTCTTAGTGATACTAGTGGCATCACGAGAAACCAATTTTTGAGATCTTATCAAACTACGTTCTTCATCTTTCATTTTCTTTTGCAATTGATTAATCTTCTCATTGGATTTTTTGATAGCTGTTTTAAACGATTGACGAGTTTGTTCTAGTTGATATAATTGCCATAATGCAAAATGTTTTTGTAAAACTTTTTTTTGTTTGACGTTATCTTTATATTCATTATTTTGATTTATTCCTTGTTCTAAAGTCTTCAATTCATTTTCAGCTCTTTTACTATTTTTAGTAGCATCAGTGGTAGCTTTTCCTAATATATTAACTTCATCTTTTAAAGATTCATATTCGGTTTTGTATTGGTTTGAGCCAGAGACTTCTTCAATCAATTTAGATAAATCCATTGGTGATTGAGATGCGACTTGTTCAACATCACCTTGAAACACTAAGAAATTTTTTGCTTTAACAAGAATATTTTCATTTTCTAACCATTTCGAATATTCTTTATAAGATACAATCTGATCATCGATCCTATAATCACTATCTCCATGTATCGAAATATTTCTTTGCAACCTTACTATACTATCATCTTTCTTATAAAATGCGCATACATAAGCATTTTCATTATCTTCTTGATCATCATCAAGGCTATCCATAGAATTCTCCTGTAAGGGTCCTCTATACACCAAATCTTTCAGTTGATGAGACCGCAAATGACTACTGCGTACGCCCAGGACAAAGGATATGGCGTCCATCATATTACTTTTACCTGACCCATTAGGTCCGATGATACTAGTGAAATTGGATTCTCCAAACCCGACTTTTGTAGTACCTTTGTATGATTTGAAATTGTGTAGTTCGAGCCCCAGTAAACGTCCCATTTGTGTGTGTGTGTAGATGAGTTGGAGATAATGTTTAAGCAGATAATTGATTAAGCTTTTAAGTATAGTTGTTGTTTACTGTTGTGAATGTTATTGAATTGGGTGTTGAAATAGACGCGTGAACATTATTTATTTCTTCTCGAAATTAAAAATAAATAAATGAAAAAATAAATAGTGGAGAAGGGACGCGTTCAATAAAATGTTTACAGTATTTGTAATAAAAACCATGTATGTTTGTCTACATACAATATATATATACAGGAGTGTGATGTTCTTATTAGAAAGTGTAACGCATGGTATTGTTAATGCAAGACACATTTGTCATCGAATAGTGAGAAAGCAGACCACATACTACAAGCTATAGCTATCCACACACACATATATATATATATATACATATCAGTACCACAAGCTATCCACACATATATAAATACCACTAACTATCTTCCAACATCGCACACCCATAAACACACAGATATATACAGATACCTGACAACGTCTTGACCTCTTAACCTCTCAAAGTCTCAACACTTTGATAATTTCTCACAGCGTAAAACCGCCGCCGCCGAAAATTTTCTGAAAAAAGTTCCATATTTCTCCCTCCTGAAACAAAAAGAGAAACGAATTCAAAGCAAGTCAGTGATTGTTGTGTTTTTTTCCATTTTCAGTGAGTAAGAAACTAGTTCTTGAAGCTATCAGTATGTTAAGGATTAGTAACTTGCATATGGGTGTGTGTATATTCGCTTGTCATATATATATTTATGGTTATATTTATATACACATTTTAAAGTAAGAAGCATACACTGAAAAAGAAAAAGGGTAGGATAACAAGTAGTAATATTATTACATATTGACAAAGAAGGCTATTCACTCTCTTTTTCTTATTTTTTTTTAACTCATACTACCACTTCCTTTGATTCTATTTATACATAAATAGCCATGACTATACCTACTGGCTCTATACCCGTACAATATCCATTAAAAGATATACCGACTCCATATATTTATTCTTCGACTAATCCTATTAATAATGCAAAAAATATTGAAAATAATAACTCTATATTGAAACGAAAAAGAAGTTTGGAGACATTGATAGATGGTCAAGAATCTCTAGAGATTAAAAGAACAAAAGTTTTTAATGATGATAATGATGATGATATGGAGATTCCAACGCAGCATATTGAAGATGATATTGACGAAGAACAAGAGGAAGAACAAGAACTAGAAAATGGAGATAATATTAGTGGTGATGGTATTACTACTACAGAGAAAACTGAACATTCTACTGTTCCAACAAATGCTTCATCAAACGCAACAGACTGTGTCTTAACGATAGATGATGTTAAAGATGGAATCTTGGATGAAGCTTTACCAATATCACCTGTTGCTTCGGCAAGTGGTGATAGATTACAACAGCATCAGCATCAGCATCATCGCAATCATCATGATAACGATAATGATGTATTGACTCCCCCTTGCATCATTAATAATGAACGAAAACAGAAACAACTCCATGATGAACTAATGAAATCTAATTATTCTACGTTGGATGGATTGAAAAATATAACAGAATTACAATGTATGGCATTTAAATTCATTTCACAATTAAATAGAGCACAACTCACAGATATTAATTCATTAATAAGAGATAATTTAAAGAGAGATATGATAAGTACATTACCTACAGAAATTGCATTAAATATCTTGGCAAAATTGGATTTTTGTGATATTATTTCTTGTTTAGCTGTCTCACCACATTGGAATCATATTATTGAAAATACACCATTTATCTGGAAGCATCTTTTAATCTCAGAAAGTTTTATCGCTATTGAAGGTTTCTCAAATTATATTAAAGATTTAAAATTAAATTATCCTCATTTATCTAATTTTGAAGATGCTTATAAACCTGATTTCTTAAAGAGATCTCATACTCTAAAGAATTGGTACAATCCGAAATTTATACCACAAAGAACAACATTAAAAGGTCATATGACTAGTGTTGTTACATGTCTTCAATTCGCTGATGATTATGTGATTACAGGTGCAGATGATAAAATGATTCGGGTATACAGTGCAAAACAGAAAAAATTCTTATTAGAATTAGCAGGTCATGAAGGTGGTGTATGGGCATTAAAATATGATGTAGATGGAATCCTTGTTAGTGGATCCACTGATCGTAGTGTACGTGTATGGGATATCAAACGTGGTTGTTGTCTCTATGTATTTAAAGGTCATACTTCAACTGTAAGATGTTTGGATATCGTGGAATATAAGAATAATAAATATATTGTAACTGGTTCTCGTGATAATACTTTACATGTATGGAAATTATGCAAGAGTGCATACAATAGAGGAGTTGATAATAAGAATAAAGATGATGATACGAATAGTGCTTCGACATCAAGTGTCTGGCCTATTGTTTATGATACTCCCGATGTGAATCCTTATTTCGTTGGTGTTTTAAAGGGACATGTTGCCTCTGTACGAACAGTGTCAGGTCATGGGAATATCGTTATTAGTGGGTCATATGATAATACATTAATGGTATGGGATATCGCACAAATGAAATGCCTATATATTTTATCTGGCCATACTGATAGAATCTACTCTACAATCTACGATCATAAACGACAACGTTGTATATCTGCTAGTATGGACTCTACAGTAAGAGTATGGGATCTTAAGGATCTGTGGAGGAATGGGATCAGACAAACAGTGACTTGTGCGGGAACTACATGTACTAGAGTAACTGAATCATATAAGGTATTATCGGGACATACTGCCTTAGTAGGTTTGTTGAAATTGAGTGACAAATATTTGATCAGTGCTGCAGCAGATGGTACATTGAAAGGATGGGATGCAGAGGATTATTCATTGAAATTTTCTTATTTACATAGTAATCTAAGTGCTATAACAACATTCCATATGACAGATAATATCCTCGTGAGCGGTTCGGAGAGACAATTCAATATTTATAATTTAAGAAATGGTAATTTGGTTCATTCTAATTTATTACGGGATGCGGAACAAATTTGGTCTGTAAATTTCAAGGATAATTTGTTAGTGGCTGCTGTAGAGAAAAATGGACAAAGTTCTATTGAGATGCTTGACTTTGCATGATATATATATACATATATACACATAATAATTGAAAATATACATATCCTTTTTGCTCTTTACTCTATTTCACGTTATTTCCTTTTCTCTCTCTCTGCATGTCTTACTTTCCATCAGAATCTGGGTGCAATTCGGTAGCCATGCATCCCATCGCTAAGACAATATTTCTATATTTATATTGCACCCCTACGACAAATAAATCAGATAGACCAGTTATTAATATAAATATACAAGAGTAAAATAATTTCACTACCCAATTTTTTCTCAATCAATTAAATATAATTAAGATCAACCATACAAATCGTTCGATTTAAAGAGATTAACTAAAGCATATATATAATTTAATCAAGAATTCCAATGTCAGTTATTGTTAACGGCGCAGAAGATAGAGTCTTCGGAGAAGGTCCATTCAAAGCGTACCCAATGGTCGGTACAGGTGTATACTCTCGATACCAACAATTAAGAACCAGTGTTTCTCCGAAATTGGTTGTTGTTGGTTGTCTGACGGCTGTCTCTAGTTTTATTGTTTTTTTACTAGGAGTTCATATCGTCATCCAATATCGTACAATCCAACTAGATATGCGTCTGGATATGTTGAAGAAACTGGTGTATATTGTATTAAGCATACTTGCAATTATACAGGTGATACGGTTGATAGCATGGGTGTTTGATAATTGGAGTCGTCCAGTGCTAGGACATACGTCTACGTCTATCCGTACTAATCATAGTGGAAGACGTCGCTACAGTAGACTTGCTACGCAATAGTTGTACACCACACCGCACCGCACCGTACTATACCATTTAATGACATGAGAAACAGTAATAAACGTATCCCTCTCTATCGTGCAATTAGTTAGTCAAGTTCAACTGGGCATGATTGATTATTTAATGAAAAATGAAATTTCAAATAATTTTTCAGCAATTTTTTGCGGGAGAGACGGACAAATCAGACAAACAAAACAAAAAGAGAAGAACGGTCTCAATAACAACCTCTTCGGCATGTAAACTACGTACCAGTCTTAATATATACAATAACTTCTTCTCGTATTTTGAATAAAATAGAAGAACAAAACATGCAAATAAAATAAATAATTATAAAATAATAATAGCAATATATATATATATTGCTGGGTGTTAAGACATATTTTATAAAAGCGTTCTACAAAGGAGTAAGAAAAGTGTTATATTAAAGCATACGTCTATAATTATTTTAATTTAACAGAAACAAGTTGTGGAAACGAAGAAGAACCATTATCTATTACACACATATATCCTTTACCACTGCATAGAATATAATAGTTTTCGAATTGCTATTAGACACTATTATTGAACAATCAAACACAAAGCTAAAATTCTTTTTTATTTTACGTCATTATTAAATGGGTGGAAGAGTGTACGATCCAATTCATGATGTCTTTCAGGACACTACATCTAGTTCAACAGGGACAGGGAAAGAGGCAGAGGTTTCAGGGAGCACAGATACGCTATCTACCACCAGCCGTCCAATACCAGTCACTTCATCAATAGCCATTACGTTAAATAGTGACGACGACGATGATGACGTGGAAGAGGGTGAAGAAACAAACGATGAGAATGATGATACCAAATTGAATGGTGAAAATATCGATAACAAAGAGGCTAATATTATTGATAAGAATACAAGTTCTATCAGTAAATTTTCTACTCAAAGGGAGTATGCACCAATGATCAGTGCTCTTAGATACAATAGACATTTAAAGAAACCAGATGGTGATTATTTCAGTCGTAAAGATTTACAATTTAATTTCTTAGAGACTTTACTTGATAATAAAAGATTACTTTTCACCAATGTATTCAAAGATTATTATTTGAATTCACTTGTTAATACCCCCTCAATGTCACCTTCAGCAACTACAACATCATCATCATCATCATCATCATCATCGTCTTCCAATAACGATACTTCCATTAAGAATATTACTACAGGACATGTTGTGAATGTTGGAGATAAGGACTACGATGCTAGGAAATTTATGAATCATGACAAACTGACATTTTCTCAGTTATATATCCTATGTTTAGGAACATCGTCAAAATCTTCAAAGATTCTTAGAGATAAATTGTTATCAGATCGTCAAGTAGCATTTTCCACTTGTCTCCTAGGGTTTTTACTTAATATTGGTAGGTTAAATACAACAATCAATTTTTATATTGCAATGACTTCACAATTAAGGACATTTCATGCGATACCAGCTTTACAGCATGGGATTTCAGATCCAAAATCACTTCAAGATACTCCAAGGTTGAAATCTATTCTTAAAGGTTTACCTATTGGGAATGAACCAATTTCCATAATGGATCTATATCAACCTGGTCATACATGGAAATCCGGTGTACCTAACATTATCAATTTGTTGTTCGCCATTTGTGATAACGTAACTTTAGTGAACTCACGATTTTTCGATAAGAAGTATCTGGAATGGGATAGTTCGAACGATGGGATGGATTTATTGTCATTGTTCAATGTCTTGGACCAACCAAGGTTTAAAGTCGATGACAGAACAAATCTTTTGTTATGGTTAGTCTATATCCACCTCGAGACAGATCTATCTGATGAGGCAATAACTAAATCACTAAAACAATTTGGGAAACCAGTTAAAAACTCTAAAACCGGTATAGAATCATGGAAGATTATCCTAACAGAAAATGATAAAAATCAGGATGAAGAAGATGTGGATCTTCCAGAAGAAATAACATTTGGTTTACAACAAAGAGATAAAAGGAAAGAATTTCTAGATAAATCACAAAAGGAAAGGATTAAAGAAGCAAAGGAGAAAGTGGTGACTCTTGATAGCACTTATAAGAACGTCATTGATAAAGGGAAAATCAAGATAGAGATGATTACATCTCCAAATCCAGATCCTCCTAAAGTGTCATATACTACAGACACTGACCCTCATATTAACACTCCGATTCCAATAGTACCAAACTCTCCCCCTTCTCAGCCCAAGCAAATTACCGGTAGTAAGATCGCCAATATATTAAATCCTGTAGATAGTGATGAGTCCCCTATAAGGTTGGTACCCAAAAGTGAAATTTTGACCCCGTCTAAAGTAGTTAAAGAGAATGCCATTCCAAAACCAACCAAATTTTCCACTGGGAAGTTTGAAGTAGCCTCGATTAAGAAGAAGAGAAAGAGAAGAACGAAAGCTGAAATGTTGCACGCAAAGAGATTAGATGCTGAGAGAAATGGCTCGGATGTAAGTAATAGTAAAGATTCCACCCCTACTAGACCATCTACTACATTACATTACAATTCAGAGACTCCAACAACTCAATCTCCAGTTCCTATAGTACAGACACCGTTACGAGACTTCCGTCAAAGTACAGAATATAAATCTGCAGCTATGAAGATAAACGAAGAAAGAGTAAGTAAGATGATACGATTGGATGCTACGAAACAACTTGCAGGTGTGGATAAGACTCAGAAGGAGTTTGTTGAGGATTTGTTGGAGGCACACAAGATCGTTAGACAAAAGAGAAAAGAAATTGGTTTGATTAAAATATTTAACGAATATGAGGACATTACGATGGCTTCAGTAATAGGTATCCGTGGTAAGAAGAGAAAGAAGTTCCAGGATGAACTTCTAGGGTTTGAAACTGATTGTCTGAGAGATTTTATGGGAGCTAAAAAGGTCATGTTAGAAAAAGTAGTTGGCCAACAAGAAGACAGAGATATAGATAAAAATTTCTTCAAATTGTAACAAGCTCTCAAAGAGTTAAGGAAGATGTATAGAAATTTATTCATTTACGTAGAGAGATATATAACTATGTTTAGTAAAGTATTGTAGTCTCATTAATAACTCTAGAGAATTGGCTAAACGTGTCTGCAGAAAAATAAAATAGTTCTTAAAATTCAACGAGCACCTTCCCTTTTCAACTCTCTTAATCATGGAACGTCATAGAATTTATTTTAGTTTTTCTCTCGCTTTAATAAATTAAGAAAGAAAGAAAGAAAGAAAGAAAAAAAATGATTGAGCCATCACGAAGTTAAAGGGATTTGCTTATTTAAAGAAAGTGTTAAATAAATGAACAAAAAATAAGAAGAGTAGACATTACAAAGGATCATCCTCTTTAGATAGATATATTGCTATTGTTTATTACAATATTTGTTCAAGCAATAAATAGCAGACAAGTCGTCTTTTATTTTACGTCTCTCTTTATTTTTTTACGATAAGAAAGTTTATTTAGAAACTCACGTTTATCATTTATAGAACATTAGTGAATTTGAGTTTGTTTGTTATTCGAGGATTAATTAACTATGATAGGTAGTATTTATCCCAAAGTATCACTCGTAACCAGGTCGACATTATATCAATATGCTAGGGCTAATGTGGTAGGAGCTAGTTGGCACACCACCAAGAAAGAGGGCAACTCGATAGTTAGAAAACCGCTGGTATTTAGATCAGGATTTCATTCTAGCTCAATACAAAGACAATCGATTAAAGATCCGTATAAAGCACTTGGTTTGAATAGTAAAGCTTCTCAATCGGAGATTAAGAAGGCCTACTATAAATTAGCCAAGAAATATCATCCGGATATTAATAAAGAACAAGATGCAGAAAAGAAGTTCCACGATTTACAAAACGCTTATGAGATCTTATCTGATGAGACCAAACGTAAACAGTACGATCAATTTGGCGCTGCTGCATTTGATCCAAATTTTGCTAATTCTCAAGGTCATCCTGGCGGATTTGGTGGATTTGGTGGTGGAGGGGGTGCTGCAGGTAATCCATTTGGAGATTTTGGTGGTATCAATTTCGAAGATCTTTTCGGTGCTGCATTCAGTGGTCGGAATGGTGGAGCAGGAAATGCTGGGAATCCATTTGGGAATGCCGGAGGTGCTAATCGTATGAACATGTTTAGGGAGTATAAAGGTGACTCAATACATGTCTCATGTAAATTGGACTTCAAGGATGCTGTATTTGGGAAGAAGAACGTTAAATTGACATTTAATTCATTTGATCAATGCCATACTTGTCATGGTTCTGGTATGAAGAGTGGTGCTGCCAAAGAAACTTGTCAAAGTTGTCATGGTAGTGGTACCAAAGTTCATATTAGAGGTGGTTTCCAAATGATGTCTACTTGTAATGAATGTCAGGGTGAAGGTAGCACAGTTAAAGCTGAAGATGTATGTCATAGTTGTCATGGTGATGGTGTCGAATTTAAACATAACAAGACTATCAATGTTGATTTGCCAAATGGATTACAAGATGGTGATGCCATTAGAATCTCCAGTCAAGGGTCATACCCTCAAATGGCTGTAGACCCTGAGATGGCAAAGAATGTAAGAATGACTAGAGGTGATATTATTGTCACTATTCATGTGGATAAGGACCCAAAGTTTTCGATCAAGAACAAGTATGATATTTGGTATCAAATGGACATTCCTATCACTACTGCAGCTCTTGGTGGTACAGTTGAAATACCGACAGTAGATGGAACGAAGATTAGATTGAAAGTTCAAGCTGGTACTCAACATGATGAAGTCATTTCAATACCAAACATGGGTGTTCCACGTCCAGGGATGTTGGGACAAGGGGGGCGTGGTCATATGAAGGTTCAGTACAGGATAGTAATGAAAAAACCACAATCTAAAGCAGAGAAATGTTTATGGGAGGCATTAGCAGATGTAACACATGATTCCATGGCAAAAAGAACTATGAACATAACACTCGACGGAATTAATGGCAATCAATCGAACTCTTCTGGATCTACTAAGAATAACTCAGGAAATGCTGCATCTAATCCAGATGAACCAAATGCATTGAGTAGATTAGAAAAGTTTATCTCCGGTGCATTTAAAAAAATAAAAGGTGATAAAGATTAAATTATCTTCAGTTGAAGCAAAACACATGATGTGATATCAACCTTCTTTTTTTGAACTTCTTTTTTTCTTCGTGATTTACTATTGACTTACAATCGGAATAATTTCCCAGGAAATTAAAAATATTATGTCTATTAGAAATGTTAGAAAAAGTTAATAAACAATCATACCTGTATATACAAATAAAATAAGTATTCTCATTATATAAATCCAATAATTTTTTCTATTATCATTTGTGTTATCATTTTTAATTTTTTGTTTACATGAAACCAGCTTAATGGATGTAACTAACTGGATCCAAAGTGAGAAATTTTAAACAAAACATGAAAATATATAATAATTGGAAAATAGTAATTACGTTCTTTGAGTTATATTCTAAAATACTTTTTACGTAGTGCATTAATCCGTGTTTTTAAAAGTAATGACAGTAATGACTTGTAGATATATTCGTTACAAATATTTTCTTTTGTTCACACTAGAAGAACTTTTCTTCGAAGATGAATTCTGACAAGTCTACTTTATTATACCCTATTATTGTAATTATAGTCATAACGAATGTCCTCAGATTCCTGGCCAACATCTTCAATAAAGGTGCAACACTATAAAAAGCATCATAAACTAATGTTATGATTAGATTCAAACCAACTCAAAAGAAACTGATAAATTCCAGATATTAAGTTACTACAGTATAACCCATATTAATTTCGAAATCTTCGAAATAAGAAAATCTGTTTTTCAATTTTCACTACCTAATTCTTTTGTATAGGCGATATTTTACAGTCCTCTGTAATTAATGAAAAACTATTAGATATATTCTCAGTACGACAGAAAAATAACTTCAAGACGGCATAAATTATAAAACGGAAGTATTCTTAATTTAATATTTACGTAACCAAAACTCATATCTTGTAATTGAAGACACCTCTTTACGCTAACAAATTACCCCAGATCATTTTCTGTTTTTCTAAAATATCTTGGTACTCTTTGGGCTTTGTTTTCCACTAGTGTTGTTGATAAATATAAAATAAGTATTTGAGCTGAAATAAATAAGCAGTTTACTCTTACTATTACAAGTATTGCCTTCTTTCTCATTATTGCGAATAGAATAATAGAATATCTATGTACCATTTTAATATTTTACTGAGTAGTTACTCAGTATGTTATCTACTGTTACATTGTTTGAAAGGTACTACGCTAAAATATTGTCTTTGGAATAATTACCTAATCAGTCTTTAGTTTGAACGACAACTTTGTAGTCTAATTTTTTATCTCCGCAAACATATGTACCCACCAGTAATTTCTTGAGACAAATAAATAAGTAGCAAACAGCTCAAGACATTTTATCTCCTTGCTACAAGTTTGTATTGGATGCTACAAAATTGGCTACCTACAAATCTACATATAGATAACGTTAGTTGCAAACAAGGAGTAGACAATTTTAATTTCTATTGCATAAGAAAGTAGATCCCTTAGTTATAAAATATATGAAGGGGGTGGGAATAAGTGGAAATGGAGAAAATTGTACACAGTACCCAGATATATTTTATGATCAACTGCGGGTATAGTATTCTCTCCCCAATAAATTGTAGACGATTACGTAAGATCATCAACAGTCACTTACCTTTTGTGACCAATAAAAACAACAACAGAAGAATAGGTACACGGACAGTTAAAGTTCAATTCAATAAATAAATAAAACGGAATGAAATTTATAGTGTTGCTTAATCATTTCATAAACTTTTATGTAAGCAAACTCGTGGAAAATCTTCTGAAGTGGAAAAATAGTAAAGGGCGATCCTTTTTTGGAATTCTGCAGGATTTTATAGTGATCTCCGAATAGGGTAAGCACAACTTTATCCCCGCTTCTGCAGATATTTCTGTGGTAGTGACGATCCCGTTTTTAAGAATAATAGGTGGAAGAAATCTAAAATGAGAAATAATTGGACTATTAATGATTAAACAGGGATACCATACTGGCGATATATTTGGAAGCAATATGTATCATCCGGAGTCTGTGAATTCTCGGTTGATGTGAGGATACATGATTGTTTCACTTATAGTTCAAGAAACTTTTCAACAACAACAACAACAACAGCAAATAGTTTTCTTTCTTTCCTTAGCTCACTCCCATATTGAATAATAAGATGCAGCATGTGGTAGCATTTGAAGAATTAGATATCACCAGACTGAAGATAAAACGAATAAAAACACTATATCGTAAAATTCATTGAATATGATTCTCTTTATTCAGAATAAGTTGAATGATGTATTAAACATTAATAATATTTCTGATGTACCCCATGCCTGTAAAGAATACGGCATCATAGAGAAGCAAATGAGATGAATTTTTCTTTATAAAATATTTTTGTATATTTGTAAATTCAATATGAATATATCATTCTATGTAATAATAATAATAATAATAATTAGCAGGGTTTTATTTCAATATTAAAGTTAGAATACTAATCAATTTGTTTGATTCTTTATCTCTTCTGGCGCAATTGAAGTTTCTAAACTTTCTTCTTCTTTTATTTCTTCTCCGTCCTTTGAAGCAACAATATCTTCAATATTAGTAGCTACTTTTTTTTGAAGATCATCCTGATGATCTTCTTTAATACCTGTCATGTTCTTAGTTACCTTTGCAGTTTTCTTTTGATGGCTTTTCAAATGTCTTAACATGTTACTCTTAACATTAAATGACTTCTTACAGGTCTTCCAAGGACACTTGAAAGGTGTATCACCTGTATGAATCAAATAATGAGTCTTCAAAGTAGATGGTCTAGAACAAATCTTGCCACATACTGGACATTGTTTACGTAACCGTACCGCTAGACTCAAATTAGATTGGATACTATTTGGGACAGGAATTAAACCATCTGTAACATAATTTGGACCCATACCAGGTTTTGGAACTGTTTGCCCTTGCAAACCAGTTGGAACATTATTTGAAGGCATTACCACCGTCTGGACTGGATTCATCAATACTTCTTGTTGAGGTGGTGCTTGGTACACTATTGAATTTTCATATTCTTGGGACTGGATATGTTGTTGCTGAATTTCAGTTGGGTGAGCCATATTGACAACAACAGGATAAGTAGAAATCATTTGTTGAATATGAGGAATTTGTTGTTGCTGTTGCTGTTGCTGTTGCTGTTGCTGTTGAAATGGAGTAACCACGTAATAGTAACCCGGTTGCTGTTGCTGTTGCATTTGCTGCATTTGTTGTAAGTGCTGTTGATATTGTATTTGTTGTAATTGTTGCTGCTGTTGCAAGACAAAGGCAGCTTCATTTTCTTGTTGCTGTAATTGTGTTTGATTTACCAAATAATTAGTATTGGGACTACCTGCCGGGGTAGCGATAGGAGTAACTTGATTTGAAGAGACTCTTTGTTGTGGACCTGCCACCATTCCAGATGAAGTAGCAGTAGAAGGTGCATAACTTACATTTGAAGGGATTGTTTGAGACATAGAAGATTTTCTAGAGTTAACCATTGATGGCATCGCCGTCACGAACGGTTGAACATTAATAGCCGCACCAGTCGGGTTCATAATGTTTGTATTTGTATTTGTATTTGTATTTGTATTTGATATACCTCTGTGCATCAATGGGGAGGTTCTCATTGATGAAGTCTTTTCATCGTCAGTGAAATCTTGATTTCCAGCATTGGGACTATTCTGTTGGCTATTAATTATTGTAGAGATTGGAGGTAAAGTAACTTTTGTAGAGTCCATATCTGATTTTCTTTTTATGGATGGAGATGAAATTTCTGAAGTATGAGGAAGTGAATTGTTTTCCATAGGTAATGTATGATATAGTGAAGATTGATTGGAGATTGAGTATGGAATATAAGCTGTTAAGTTCATTAAGGGGAAAATGATTTGTATATATGCAAATATATTCTTTTTGTAATTTTGTGTGTGTGTGTACCTGGTGATTGATTGATTATTCTTCTTATTAAAAAAAAGGGTTATATTATCAAGAGATGATATTAGACAATCGTAATAATAATATAACTTAAATTCTCTCTCTTTTTTTAATACTCAAATGAAATAAAGGCGGTTGATTTCTATTTGTAAGCTTTTTTAAAATTTTTATTTTCTATAGTATTAATTAATAATATTAAAAGAAAATGAGATACTGATATGATGATTTGATTTATGAAAGAAAATACAATAAAAGAACAAGATTAAATAATTATTATTATCTCAACGAGTTAAATTTATCGATATAATAAAAAAAAAAGAGGA